CAATGTACTACTCCTGACACCATTCATCATCCCATTTGAAATCTAATTGGAAAGTTGGATTCATAAAGAAATTTCCAGTTTGTTACTACTCATGGATCAAGTTTGAAGTTTCAAGTGTTTCTGACAATATTAGTTTAAGGTGATTGATTCATCACTCCCTTCAATGGAGAAACTGCATCCTTCCACCTCAAATTTGCTCTTGGAATCACTAAATTGTTTTCTCTTGACAGCAGAACACCTGTAACTGCTTAGAATTTTGATAGTGACTAATGAAATCAGTTGTGTGGAAGACTCGGCTACCCATGTAAAAGCTTTGTGTCCGTAACTGCAAGCCCAGTAGCTGCCCAATTTTTATTTCCATGGAAATTTGCAGTGGGCTAGATAGCAGTGTGTTTCTGTGAGTCTTTCTCTTCACCCCACGTGCGTGCGGCTTCTTCTGCATCACACTCGCCGTCGCCTGTGCTAGAGACAGCTGTGGGGGCTCAGAGCAGATTTCCAGGCCACGTAGTAGTCCTTAGGTGGACTTCAGTTATGAGTTGCAGAAAGCAGTGTGTTAAGACACTCTGCACAGTTAAGGAAGCTTCAAGCTCCTATCAGTCTCTTAGTCTTCTTTGTTTATGTTGAAAAATACTACCTCGCAAACAGTTGGAGCAGTTAGTGCCAATGCAGATGTGAGCTCTAGAAATTAATAACTGCCCAGGCTACCAAAATAACGAACAACTTTCAGAGTTTAAAAATCCACTTCTTAAATTTTTCATCAAACATTTAGATGCAGTTGTATTTTTACTTGCCTTTTGAGAATAAAGTAAAAATTTCTAAAAATCCTCAAGAAATATTTTTCTCTTCAAAGACAAATCCGGGACACAGTGAACTGGATTTTCAGTGAGCAAATGTTGGTTTACTACATCAGTGTTTTCCGGGATGCTTTTTGGCCAGATGGGAAACTGGCACCACCGACCACAATCAGAAGTGAACAACAGAGCCAGCAAACGAAACAGAGAGCACAGCAAAAGCTGCTTGAAAACATTCCAGGTGAGGCCTTGGTTCCTAACCCGAAGTGTGGAGAGGGAAGAGGGAAGGCTGTCAACCCTGTCAAGATGTATTTCATTTACATCTGTCAGGAATTATTACTCACAATGAGAAGTACAGAAAGTATTTCCTTTAGGCCATCTATTGTTACTTGTTAAGAATTTATATTAAGAATCCTAAAAGAACTTCAGAGTAGATAATAAATTTTTTATTAGAAACCTGGCTAAAGTGAACTTTTCAGATACTTATTTTTAACAACACATTAAAATTGTAGCTTGCATTAAATGCCTTCTGTTACAATCCAGAAGTGTCTCTGTGAGCTGTTGAGACAGCTGACCATTCGTGTACGTTGTTGTATTTGCTCCGTGTAATATCTCCTTCGTTGGGTATCTGTGCATTGCACACCGTGGCAATCACAGCATACAACATCAACTCAATTTTCCAGATACGCTTCAGAGTCTTGTTGGACAGCAAAATGCCCGCCACGGCATAATAAAAATATTCAACGCACTGCAAGAAACAAGAGCCAATAAGCATCTGTTGTATGTAAGTAGATTTAAACCTCCCAGAGGATTCATTGCTTTTTGGATTTTAGGTTTCTTTTGACATACTGAAGTAGATTTTTCTCCCTTATATTCTGAATCACTTCTGTTTAATGTATCTGTTCCATTTTCTCAGTATCATTTTTATTTGTTTATCTGGTTAAGAAAAATAAAAGAGCCCCCAGCGGATGTGACATACTCATGGTCCCATATGAGTGTCTCTTGAGTTTTGAGGTCACATTTGTACATAACTGCTTAGTCTTCTTATTGCAGCTAAGCAGACTGTTTCCTAGGCATATTTGTAATTATAATTGTCCATTTTAGTTCCCATTGAAATAAGTCGGTCTGTTAGTAAATAAAACTAATATAGTATTAATTCCTTTTGCTAAAGAATCATTGGTTTATGGAGAATAATCTTAGTAGACAATTGTCATAGAATGTAGAATAAACCTTTGGAGGGAAAAAGCCCCACACTTTCCTCTTTTTTTCCTCCGTTCTTGGCTCAGGTGCTGATGGAACTGCTGCTAATTGAATTGTGTCCCGAACTGAGAACTCATCCTATCGATCACCTGAAAGCTGGTCAAGTTTAAGGCTGCACAAATAAACCACCAGAGAAATGTCTGTGTAATAATAGACATGAAACATTTTCCTCTTTTGCACAGAGGGCTTTGCCTGAGGACATACTGATTTTTATTTTAGTTACCTCCTTCTAGTTTTATGTGAAATAAAAACAGAACTGGTGGGAGGAGAAACTGATACTACAGTAGGTAACAGGGAAAAAATCCTCTGTTTATTGGTTTTTAAAATTTAAATAATAAAGTTCAGTATACTGATTGAAATACAAATGTTAATATGTGATAAAAACCTAGGAAATATTTTAAATATTTATGAAAACAGTTTTGAAGATCTATTAATATTGTATAGGCAACATCCTCGCTGAGGATTCTGAACATTCCTATATTATTTCGTGTGTATTGAAAAACATTGTTGTGCAATGCTTTGTGTAAAGTTATTGTGAAAATTTTGTCTTTATTTTTACCAAAGATTTCCCATTGTTTGAAGCATTTGAAGCAATAAAATGTAAAAAATGAGTCACAGGTGCTCTTAATTTTTTGAAGATACTTTTGAAACGCAGTGGTAGTTCAACTCTTTTCTGTTTCATAGTAAATATGATGCACTTTAGTACTTGTACAGAGAAGTATAAAGCTCGCTGCCCTTCTCCTGACCAAAAATAAATACGTGAAATGTACGATCTTTCATGAATAAAAAGAGCTGGATTAAAGTGCTTAAGATGAAGCCCTATGTAGATGTGATGTGAGCTGAGCTCGAGAAGGATCAGGCAGAGAAGCAGGGAGAGGAGCGGGCAGGAAGGCGGGGACTTCAGGCTTGATTCTCTCATTGGCATTAGGCGATTCACAGATTTTGTTTTGCTGTTGATGGCTGTGCACAGTTACTTAATCGATTTTCCTAGGTTTCACCTCTTTCAAATCCCCAGGAAATAGAACAATGGAAAGGTAAAAAGTCCACTGAAATCCATGAAAGAAAAAATACTGTATACATAAAAAGTGGAATAGGCTTTATTATGGATTCATCATGCCTGCTAAGATCTTGATAAGAAACATCCTGAAACATAAATGAAAGCTGAAACTTATCAAAATCAATTTTATCTTCTTGTAGTTACAATGTTTTGATCCATTTTTCCAAACCGGATGATGTCTGACCCTTTGGGAAACCCAGTTATTTATATGGATAAGAATTATTCTTCCCAGAGATACCAGAAAGGCAACATGAAATATATTCAGGAAAGCAAAGCCATGTGAATTTGCCACAACCAAGTAACTCAACAGTTCTGGAAACATCTGTTATGTATATGCTATCAAACTGTAACTGTTAAATTTGAACTGTAAATGTAGAGATTATTTTGACTCCTCAATATTTCTTAAAGATAAATTTAATGAGATATCTGTGAAAAGATATCTTATGGATGTTACTTTTTAATAAGAATAGAATGGAAGCCTGGGTTCACTGAAGTTAACAAATATCTGCACTCACAGTAGGTGGGGGAGGAATGCCCCTGTGATGGTTTCTTGGGCGCCCCCTGGCTGTAATAGACAGAAATGCTACCTTGGGCTCACTGAAGACAGGGAGCATATGATCAGGCGTGTTACCACCTCCAGCACATCTCTTATGCCAGTCTTATTGGGATATCAGACCTATAGGCTTTCTGTTGTTATTTTTTTGAAAGATTTTATTTGAAACGCAGTTACAGACAAAGGAGGTAGGAAGAAAGAGAGAGAGAAATCTTCCATCCATTGATTCAAGATACTGAAACTCAATCTGTCTCTCATCTGGGTGTCCAGGGGCGTGAGTACCTGGGCCATCTTCCACTTCTAGGACTTGAACTGGCACTCAGGAGATTCCAGCATCGTTAGTGGCTTAACCTGTTGTGCTACAAGATGGGCCCCTGAGACCTGTTTTTGAAAGGTTGATTTTGAAAATCAGAGTTAACAGAGAAAGAGGGAACGCCATGGAAAGAAAGATCTCCCATCTGCTTATTTATTCTCCAGGAATGCAGGCATTGCAGGAAGCAGCTTCACTCACTAAGCTGCAATACCAGCCCTGAGACCAACTGTTTTAAGGGCAGGTAAAAAAATGGTCTTTACTAGGATGAAAAAATACAAATGTGTTATCATTGTCAATGTTTGCTCCTTTCTTATGTTCTTATTCTAAAATTATCTTCTCTGTACTTAATTCAATTAAGTATGAAGAGAAGAATGCTGCTTGAGAATCTGGATCTTCAAATGGTTGAAACAATGTTCTGTGGATGGGACTAACAGAAATAGAGAAAATGAAGCTTACCTCGTGGGAGAACTATTAGATATTAGGCAATCTTATCGTGGGCTTGAGTCATTGGATAGTGTTATTGGAGAGATTATGGAGTCTTTAGTGACAAGCTTTAGAAGAAAAAGGGGCTCATTTAATTGTATATTTTAAAAATAGTATAGAGATACATGAATGTTTGAGGATATGTCAAGTTCAAGTAAGATAGGCAAATAAGAATATAAAACAAGAATAAGCTCTACTGCTGTTCGTTTGTGACTGTCACCTACACATTCATCACATTCTCTCATAAGAGAAGTTGCTAAAATCCATTGTCAGGATCATTACGTTTTTAAAACAGACACATGAGTTTTGTATATTGATAGAAAAGGCTCAAGTATCTTTACGTCATGCCAGTTTTAGTGTATTTGTCTCACTACTATTGCTGTTTTTACTGTTACCTTTTGCCTTCATGCCACTGTAAAAAGAAAGCCACTAAGTTAAACTAACTTAACTTTTAAACTGTATTTATAATTTTTATATTGTTTCACAGTTTATTTTGTATTTAAACATATCAAAGTTTTAAAAATGTAGTTGAATGAGTTGAAGCACAAAGAAACATCTTAACTTTAATTCATTACCTTATGAATATTCATCAGGAATAGTAATTGTTTTGCTCACTAAATTAAAATCTTTGAAGGAAAATCTCAGGGGCAAGATTATAAACTGATTCTTAACTGACTTTATAGGTTTCTCATAAACTTTAAACTCTTTAGACTCGTAGCTTTTATAACTTTAAAAACACAAATGCTATGTACTTATCACAAATGATAAGTCTTTAAAATTATGGCTCTTTAGCTTTATGAAATTGAACTCTTTTTAAATAAAAAAAATTTAAATGTTATTCCAGATTCACAAAACTAAGTACCAAAGAAATGTAAATGTGTACTTTCAAATGATATTGAAAATAAATGTGATCATTTAAACTTCTGGATATATTCAACTAAAACAATAGTGTTTTCAAGACACTGCATATTAAAGACAGGAGAGACATTTGCCTTTTGACGTGCTTTCAGGATTAGGTATGGTCCAGGCTGCTCTTGGGGTTAAGAGCTAGGTCTCTGAATACTCTAGCAGTTTGACCCTTCGGCCAGGTTTCAATTTACAAAAAGTGTAGCTTGCAAATTTAAGAACAAAGGTAACCTCTGTAAAATACCCAAGATAACATAGCTTGAGATGCAGCAAATAACCAAATACAGCTGCCACAAAAATGCAGGTATTACATGGTGTTCAGATTGATGAGTCTTTGAGTGCTCTGTGGCTTAAATTCTTTGCTGAATGAGTAGGGAGTAGAGTTCATCTGCCAGTGCAGGATTCAGACGGCATGCCTGAAAGGCAAAGAGTCAGTCATTTAGACTAATTCTAATTGTAAAGCTTTTTCCTTTCTACTTTTAAGACTTGTAAAGAATGGCGAATTTTCGGGTCACTTAAGATAACTTCTATTCTGATTTCCAAATATGTGAAACAGATTAATACTGAAAACAACCACATTATTATCATTTGAAAGATAAAATTTTAGCAGTGTCAACAAGTAAAAGGAAATTAAGCACTGAAGACAGCACTGCATCTTAGGAATTATTAAAGTAAGTAGAATGAAAAGCATTAACATTTGGCCTCAGCTTGCTATGATCTCATTACGTATGTCACAGAATCTATTATATTATTTTGAAATACCTAGTTGGTTTCATAATGCCTAAAGCAAACAGAGATAAGGTGTTTTTTTTTTAAATGTCAAGAATCTGGGAGACATATCAAAGGTTATCTCATCCAAAACCCACTCTATGCAGAAACGAGCCCTTCTGTTCCCATAACGGTCAGATAGATATTCAGGGTATCACTACGTTACAGAGGAAACTTTTGTTTGTGTCCCAAAGTTACACTAGAAGATTCTTCCCAATATTAAGCTGAGATTCCGCTGTAAATGGCTTTTGAATCATTAAAAGGTCATAGAACACATCATACTGGTATCAGAGAACTCTAAGTGCACCCAGTGCAGGGGCTTGTTTGATTGATCCTCCGCCTCCAAGTAACAGGATCCCATTAAAGTGCCAGTTCAGTCTTGGCTGCTCCAGCTCCCATCCAGCTCCCATCCAGCTCCCTGCTTATGGCCTGAGAAAAGCAGCAGAGAAATGGCCCAAATCCTTGAAACCCTGCAGAAGTGTGGGAGACCCAGGGGAAGTTCTAGCTCCTAGCTTCAGATTGGCTCAGCTCCAGTTGTTGTGGCCGTTTGAAGAGTGAACCAGAGAATGGAAGATCTTTCTCTCTGTGCTTTTTTCTCTAAATCTGCCTTTCCAATAACAACACCACCACCACCAACAACAACAACAACAAAAAAACTAATAAGAGGGGAGGCATCAAAATAAACTCATTTGTAATTCTATTTCCCATGAGCTCTTTGAAGTTGTATACATCTAGTAGAAAAGTGAAAGAGAATAACTTACATCAACATAAGATGTTTTATCATCTGAGCTTAATTATGCTAATATGAATCTAACACAATGGTCTGTAATCTGTACATCTTACAACCTCTGTGTAGACAGATGTTAATCTGCATCATTACGAATTAGGCATAACCACTCATACATAAAATTGTCCAAGTACCACTAACAGCCTAGCGATTTCTATTGGGGTCAACTTGTGTTTTGTTCTAACACTCACTTTGGTGTAATAGTGTTTAGCAGCTTCTTCATCCTTTGTGATCCCCAAGCCCAGCTGCAGACACCGTGCATGGTAGAAAGACGCCATGGCCATGCCTTTGCTGATGAACTCTGGGAGACAGTCCGTGACCTGGGCTATCATGGGGACATCATGAACCTCGTCGTAGTCAGCAATCCTGAAAAGACAGCAAATTATGAAATCTGTCCACATTTTTTACAAAACAGGGTGTACAGAAACTGTCCTGCACTTTCTCAAGAGGTGGGTTTTCGCTCTGTGTTGAAGTGTTGGTGTGTTCTGTTAGTATCAGGGACAGTGTTAGATTCGGCCGAGCAGCAGTGACTCCAGCCCCCTGCTAAAGTCAAGCTGACACTCTCATCTGGGAGTGTTTGGTAGTGAATCACCCTAACCTTGTCTACTCAGAGGGTCCACACCCGCCACAGTGAGGACCCTGTGCTGCAGGTCACTGGCTTGAAGCAAGGTCACAAGCATGCCTGAACAGGGGAGCTGCTGCCGTCTCCCATCCCCGGCGTCTGAGATGCATAAAGACCCAGTGCTGTGTACCTTGGGTGGGCATTTCTCTCACATGGCCACCCTGCCATGGGGAAGTGGTCTTGGGCCATCTCCCGCTAGGGAACAGTCCATCAGACTCTCTCCCCTGATCAATAAAACCCTTTTCCTAAACTAAAAGACTCTCTCTCAATCACTTTCATCCTTGCCAATAGGCCCTGGCTGCTGACAGTAAATCTCTTGTGTCTTTCCTGGTGTGTGGTGTGGTTTTGTGGCCCAAATCACTACCACAGAGGAATTTGAACTAGAGCTGCTACTCTACAGGCTCTGCCTTCATCAAACTTAACAGCTGGGAGAACAGCATTGTTCCTCCTGTTGTGTAATGTTAGTAATTACTTAGTGGAGTTAAATTGGATAGGGAAGAGTTTTTATTTCTTTGGGTCACCTATTAAAAGAGAAACTTTAAATTTGGACGTTGGTCGCATGACACCAGAAAGCACTTTAAATAAGCTAGCATGTCTATATTCTTTATAAATGGCACTGAAAAATAAGTCATCCAGGACAACTACCCCAGTCAGATGATGACAGCAAACATCTGGGTGAATGAAGACTATAGGTTGACCATGTCAACCAATGGACATTGGAAAGAATTCCTCACGCAAAGATCGGGGGGATTGACAGCGTTTCGGAACTGTTGTATCCACCTGGGCAGAACCCTCGGCCCATGCGCCACATTGTGACCCTGGGTTGATATCAGGTGGCCTTTCCCATCCTTGGGGACCGAGTGGACCGAGATGGTTGGGAGGCTGAGTATGGCCTATCCCCTTGTCGCCCCCCTTGCTCCAGAAATGGGAAGAAGAAATATAGTTTGGATGACACTCACTTCTCCCTATCCCCAGCTCCTTCCCACCCTGATCGACTATGTAAACATCATCTAAAATGAAAAAGAATTAAAAACAGTAAGTCATCCACTATAACCTAAACAAAAAAATGGAGATGTGTGAAAAGCAGATCCCATCAACTCTATTCATAAGAATGTTGTAACAAATAGGCATGTGGGAAGTCATACAAAATCCCCAAGATTTTCAATAACTGTTTTAAGTTTTAGTTTAATCTGGAAGGGCACTTAACTCTGGGGCCCTGGAGATCGCTCCTTCGGTGGCTTGCTACCTGGGAGCAAAGACATTGAAGAGGGGAGGACAGAAGGAGCTCCTGCCCTTCAGCTGCCCTGAAGATGGCTGGCCACACCTGAGCAGGGTTGTGAGGAGGCTGGGGGCCCTGCTGGCGGGTGTGAGTGGGAACGTATCAGTGTATCACTGAGCAGTTCCGACGTATCACTGAGCAGGTCTGACGGCTACTCCAGCGCGTGCAGCTCCACTCCCTGATATGCTGCTTCTGCACACTATGGGTGAGTAAATGCAGCAAAGTAAAGGGGCCAGATGGTCCCAGGGGAAAGATGTTTATGAGATCTTAGTATCAGAGTCTTTTAATCATTATTCCTTTTTTTATACTCCCTTATGAAGCTATAGTTCCAACTGTGCAGTTATATAGTGAAGGAAGAAATTAAGACTTAATAAATATTTCTGATGTGCCAAGTTATTTTAGGTATTTTTATAACCATGTAAAAGTATTTTCTCTTAAAAATAATGATTTTAAAAAACTAAACACTCTAGTTAACAGCACAGCCTGATGCTAACATGGTAACAATTATCCCCATGTAGCTACTTAAATTAAAATTGAGTAAAATGTAAATGTTCAGCCCTAAGTTGCATTAGACAAATGGCAGGCACTCAGTAACCATCATTTCTAGCACAGCAGAAGGCTCAACTGGCCAGATCTGGCATAAAAAATACAGTAGACACTGTTATACATAGTTTCATCTAAGTTCCTTATTCAAACTTTATTGCTTTGCTTTTGAATGTGTCCCTTCCAAAATTTAGGTGTTCCCAGTGTGATCATATATTAACAGGGGGGGCCTTTATGAGGCCATTCGCAATCCCTTAGGATTAAGAGCCTTAGAAAGCAGCCCCCCTACTGCCCTCTGCCAAGTCTCCCAAGTACGCGGCCTTCTTCAGATAGCCAAGCCTACCAGGGTCTTGATCTAGGTCCTCAACGAGAGATAAATATCTACTTGTCTTAAATAATCCAGTCTATGGTATTCTTTTATAACATACAAAATGGATGAAGACATTCACCTTTTGGAAAACGCAACACACTTTGTAAAAAACTTCATCTTATAGTAATATTCCACAAGATTCCCTTGAGCGTAGACATTGCCGCGCTCTGCTGCTTCTCTTAAGCAGTACAACGCTGCGTCAGTATCCTGGCGGATGCCCTGGCCATAAAAGTACATGAGACCGAGTGCACCCTGGGACTCCAGACTCCCATTGCCACATGCTTCTGAATGCCAATAAAATGCCTAAGAAAAAGGACAATTTCATTTTGTTATTCACAAGATGAAACTATACAGAACAGTTTTCACTGAAAGAAAGACTATTATCCATCTCTAGAAAACAGATCTAATTCCTTGTAGCACCCAGTTCTCATGCCATGGAGAGCTAAGGCAAGTCTCCCGCTGCCTGGCCTCTGGGCAGGTGACATCACAGTTCAGCGAATAGGGCACAGGAGGACCAGTTGTCTACATTTCTGGAAGGTGAGTGTGGGAAGGGCTGCTGAGCGGGAGGTGAGGCTCCCAGGGGTCTCCATCCGAAGCTGCCAGGATCAGTGAGCACAGGATAAAAGCTCTGTGTGTTTGTGGCACCTGCTCCTACTGTTCAACTATAATCAATCCGAATTTATTTTAAAAATGGTTTCCAAGTGGCTGCTCAGTTACCTGAGGTTGCCTTGAACTCTCTCAACAATAGGACTCGGCTACACAGTCTCTCTCCCTATAGGATTTCCTGGAAAGTGTTTCAACTACCTGAGAATTAAAGAATATATGTTGGGGTCAGCAGTGGGTTGACTGCTTCCTAAAACATCGGTATCCCATGTCAGAACACCAGTTCCATTCCCAGCTGCTTCCCTTCCTATCCAGTTCTCCGATAACGCACCTACCTAAAGAACAGAAGGTAGCCTGTGCGTTTAGGTTCCTGCCACCAGTGTGGGAAACCTGGATGGAGTTCCAAGCACCTGGGCCAGCCCTGGCTGTTTCAGCCATGTGGGGAGTGAACTAGTAGATGGAAGACTTTTTTGTTTCTGCCATTCAAATAAGTCTTATATATAGTCCGGCACAGTAGCCTAGTGGCTAAAGTCCTTGCCTTGCATGTGCCGGGATTCCATATGGGCACCAGTTTGTATCCCAACCAGCTCCCTGCTCGTGGCCTGGGGATGCAGTAGATGATGGCCTAAAGCCTTGGGAGCCTGCATGCGCGTGGGAAAACCAGAAGCTCCTGGCTCCTGTCTTCAGGTTGGCTCAGCTCCAGCCATTGTGATCACTTGGGACGTGAACTAGCAGACAGAAGATCTTTCTGTCTCTCCTCTCACTCTGCCTTTCTAATTAAAAAATATATACTTCTGGGAAAATTATAAATGGATTTAATGTCTAAATAATTCTTAATCTATTTTACTTATTAGTATCATTTTTTATTTCTTCAAATCAAATTCAAATTAATAGGATTTGGACCTTACTCTTCCTCTTTTTCTATATGTTTAGCTTTTTATAGTTATACAATACTCTTACCTCAATGAAATCCTTTGGAATTTTTGAAAACCTAAAATGTAGGTAGGCTTCCTTTATATTTTTTTAATGACATAAGAGATATTCAAATCTATTCACTTATTCCTCAATATGTTCTCAAAATAAAATGAAACAAATACTAATCACACAATGCTGTTAAGAAGGAAGAGAAATGTTACCTTTTCTAACTCCTTTGGTTCTTTGGTGGAATAATACAATCCTAGGATACTCTGTGCCTTCACACTAGCTTTGGGATTTCCATTGTCTGCCGCCAACAGCCACAGTCTGAAAGAGAAAGCAAGAAAGCCACTCTTCAATTTTATTTCAAAATTTCTTTTAAAAGAATAACTAAACATCTTACAGGCAGCTGAGATTACCTTTCAGCTTCCTCTTCTGATCGTTTGACCCCTTGTCCTTCATAATAAGCTCTTCCAAGGTTGTAAGCAGCTGCAAATCTTAAGTGTCTTGCTCTGGGACATGGCGAGTCAAGAACTCTCCTCATGTACGCCACACCTTTTTCCTTCCACAAAGAAAAAGCACACGCACACACACAAAGCCAAGGTTTACTCCAACCGTGCTCACCTTTTCGCATGACATGAAATATGAAAATATGTCCACAGGGTATGACTGTCTTGGATTCTGCTGGGCTGGAGATAAGGAAAGAATTTGCAAAATTCTTGTCTCTTTATCAAGGATTGCACTAAGTCTCATTTGGGCTTCCTTCTTTCTCCTCTCCTTTCCACCTGCAACCCTCATCCAGAATTCAGGTCAGTTCTTTGAATTTATCAAAGGCGAGGATAGACAATAATTTCTTCTACTGTAAAACTGGTAACGCACACGTGTGAGCCCTGAACAACTGCTGTCGTCTCTTCACGCGTACCCTCACTTACTGTACTCAATGGTAATTTTCACCTAATATACTAACCCATATATGATATTGCTACAAAATGTCAAAGCATAGAGGATATTTTCACCACTAGCAACAACAACAACAAAAGTCACTTCACCCCAAAAATCCATCAAACATAAATCTTCAACCGTCACTCAAAAGAAGAAAATACTGAAAAACATGCATGGCCGCTTTTACCTTCCCATTGCTCTCAATATGCTGGTGCTGGCCAAACACCACGGTAACAGCTGAGAAAATAAAGGTGTCTGTCAGTCATTCCCAGATTAGAAAGACCTATTTTTGTAAAGATGTGAGGTGGGTGTTTATGTTGTCTTCCCTCTCCAGAAACAGCAAGAAGGAATTGAAGGGAACAGTTGTGGAGTGAAGTGGCTGTGTAAGTCCTCCCACAGACAGCAATGCTTCAGTCTGAGTACCATACAAATGGTGACTCTTAAAGGCACTGGGAAATATAGGGAAGCAAGTGAACACACAAAACCCTTTGCTTGGCACACAGCAGACAGCTAAAGACAGAAACAACCTTGAAAGCAGCAAAATTAAAATGATGTGTTATATAGAAGGGTTACAACAATAAAAGTAGAAAATAACTTCTCAGGATACACAACAAAGATCTAAAGATTTTAGAGGGACCAGTGCTGAGGTGCTGCCACCTAAGTTGCTGTCAGTAGTGCCAGCTTTCCATATGGGCACCTCGTGTCCTGACGCTCCACTTCTCATTCTGTTCCCTATTCATGAGTCTGGGAAGGCTGTGGAAGATGGCACAAGCGTTTGGCCCCTACCACCACATGGAAAACCCAGAAGCAGCTCCTGGATTTGGCCTGACCCACTCCCAGCCATTACATCCATTTGAGCAGTGAACCAAAGAGTGTCTTTCCTTTTTTCTCTCTGTAATTCTTTCAAGTAAATAAGTTTTTTTTTTAAAGATTTTAGAATGACTTTTTTTTTTTAATGCAACCATAAAAATAAGGACAAAAGGCAGATGTTTTTTTTTTTTAAAGATTTTAGAATGACTTTTTTTTTTAATGCAACCATAAAAATAAGGACAAAAGGCAGATGTTTTTAGATAATCAAACTTGTCATTACTCATAATGACCTGAAGATTGTGTATGAGACCTGGGCTTTGAAGGCAGCTTTTGGGTGGAAAGGAAATGGGAAATGGTGTCAAACAGCACCTCGGCCTGAGGGGAAGGACTGGAGAGCAAACCAAAGGGCAAACATGAGGACAGAGAAACACATCCAGGTGATATGTATTTATACTTCCAACATGCCAAGAGACTTGTGAATACAGTAAACAGCATAATTATGCTTTGCGTGTTGGGCTAATAACATATATGGATGCAACACAAATAGCACCAAGCATGTGGGTGTGTGGGGACATGACACTTTTTCCAAGGCTCCTGTATTTTTTGCCTGAAGTAATTTAATATGAACTCTATGTAAACTGTGCATATTTTAATCTCTAGAAAACTACTAAAACTATATATAATGCAGATGGAAAATTATTAAGTTAAAATAAGTGAAATTCTCATAAATTTGAAAATATCAAATTATATTAAGTACCCATAACCATACCTCTCTGTAGGTCTTTCCAGATGCTCCCTTTTTTTTTTTTTTTTTTTTTAAGATTTATTTGAAAGGCTGAGATACAGAGACAGAGAGAGAAGGAGAAATGGGGAGAGATCTTCTGTCCATTGGTTCACTTTCTTATGGCTGAAATAGCTGCGGTTAGTCCAAGCAAAGAAGCTGAGAACCAGGAGCTTCTCACGGTCTCTGAAATAGATGCAGGGACCCAAGCACTGGTATCTTCCACTGCCTTCTCAGGTGCTAGAACAGAAGTGGAGCAGCCAGCACTCAAATCTGTGCCCATATGAGATGCCAGTACCACAGGCAGCAGCTTAATGTGCCATGTCACAGTGCTGGACACAATTTTGTTGCTTTGATATATTATTTCTCTATTCCTGAACAAATACTGCATTGTTTTGCTACACATTTATAGTGAGTTCTTTGTGGTCTAAGACCTTCTTCCTTTGTTCTTTATTTAAAATTGGTTCAACTATTGTATATTTCATTTCTATCTTTATGTATTTATTTGAAAGGCAGAATAATACAGAAAGAAGGAGAGGCAAAGAGAGAGAGAGATAGCTTTAATTCACTGTTTCATTTCCAAATACCCACAATAGCCATGGCTGGGCCCAGCTAAAGCCAGGAGCCAGGGATTCGTTTAGGTCTGCTATATGAGTGGCAGGGACTCAAGTACTTGGGCCATCTACTGCTGCTTTTCCAGGTACACTAACAGGGAGTTGGATTAGAAGCACAGCCAAAAGTCAATCTGGCAGTGTGATAAAGGGTGCCAGCAGTGCAAGCAGAAGCTTAATCCACTGATCTACAATGCTGGCACCTATATGATCTTTCATGTTAATATTAGTAGCAACTTGCCAAATGCCATTTTAAAATCCTGTAAACAGTTTGATTCTGATTATATAAAACTTTACAAAACTTTCTGATCATATAAAACTATATTTAGGGCTCAGGAAAGTAGCCTAGTGGCTAAAGTCCTTGCCTTGCATGTGGTGCAATCCCATATGGGCACCAGTTTATGTTCTAGTGACCCCACTTCCTATCCAGCTTCTACTTGTGGCCTGGAAAAGCAGTAGAGGACAACCCAAGGCCTTGGGACCCTGCACACACGTGGGAGACCCACAAGAAGCTCCTGGCTTTGGATCAGCTCAGCACCATCTGCTGCGGCCACTCGAGGAGTAAATCAGTGGATGGAAGATCTTTCTGTTTTTCCTCCTCTCTGTATATCTGACTTTCCAATAAAAATAAATAAATCCTTTAAAAAAGGTTGATATTTAATACATAAAGTTGAATCTTGGGAGGGTTTAGAAGTAGAAATAGTACCTCCTGGGGCTGACATAGTGCCATAACAGACTAATGCTCTGCCTGTGGCACCAGCATCTCATATGTTCTAGTCCTGGCTGCTCCACTACCAATCCAGAGCCCTACTAATGACCTGAGAAAACAACCTAGGAAGGTCCAAATGCTTGGACCCCTGAATCTATGTGAGAGACCTGGAAGAAGTTTCTGGCTGTCAACTTCAGATAGACTTAGTTCTGGCCATTGTGGTCATTTGGTGAACCAGTGGGTGGAAGATCTCCCTCTGTCTTTTACTCTCTCTCCCTCTGTAATTATGACTTTTAAGTGAAATAAATAAATCTTTAACTTAAAAAAAATTGTGTCTCTGAGAAAAACTAAGAGGCAGGGCAAGGAAAGCTCAAATAAGTAAAACTGTCCTTAACATACTTTTATCTCAGCCAAACATTCTTAAATAATTTTTTTCCAATGCTAATGCCAAAACCAATCTGTAGTTTTGCCAAATGCTGAATGCACATGTGAGTATTATTCTTTTTCTTAAAGATTTATTTACTTTTTTTGGGCCCGGCGCGGTGGCACAGTGGTTAAGGTCCTCGCCTTGCACGCCCGGGATCCCATATGGGCACCAGTTCTATCCCGGCAGCCCCGCTTCCCTTCCAGCTCCCTGCCTGTGGCCTGGGAAAGCAGTCGAGGACGGCCCAAAGCTTTGGAACCCTGCAACCCGCGTGGGAGACCCGGAAGAGGCTCCTGGCTTCGGATCGGCATAGTATGGGCCGTTGCGCTCACTTGGGGAGTGAATCATCGGACGGAAGATCTTGCTCTCTGTCTCTCCTCTCTGTATATCTGCCTTTCCAATAAAAAATAATAAAAATAAATCTTTTAAAAAAAGATTTATTTACTTTTTTTGAAAAGACAGATTTACAGAGAGGACAGACAGAAAGATTTTCTATCCTCTGGTTCACTCCCCAAGTGGCCTTAATGATCGGAGCTGAGTCAATCTGAAGCCAGTACCAGGAGTTTCTTCCAGGTTTCCCACGTGGGTGCAGGGTCCCAAGGCTTTGGCCCATCCTTTACTGCTTTCCTAGGTCACAAGCAGGAAGCTGGATGGGAAGTGGAGCAGCCAGGGCATGAACTGGTGTCCATATGGAATCCTGGCACATGCAAGGAGGAGATTTAGCCACTAAGCCATTGTGCCGTGCTCATGAGTATTCTATCTGTAGAATAATAGTGATGTTTGAATGCTTCCTAAAGAAAATTGGGCAGACACTATGGTACAGTGTGCAGTGTGTCACCAAATTTGACAGAAATTTCTATAAATTTTTAGTAAATATTTTATCAGAGTTTCCATGGCTAATTACAAAAAGCATGCTTACAACAGCACTCCGAAGCTTTAGCTTCGCTGCCCCTCATAAAGTGAATTTTCAATGATAGTAATGTATTTTCCAGCTGAGGCAAACTGTCTTAAGAGATATTTGATGAATGAGAAGTTTTTATGATGTTCATTTTACTACATTTGATTACCACTTGAACAAAAACAAAAGCAATTCAGTATGGAAACAATTCCAGCAGAATAACCCTACTTCATTGTTAGCATAAAAGAAGCAATTATTGGAAAGGTTAAGCATTTTTCTAGCAGTCGTGAAGGATCAAAGAAAACTTGTCAAAAGTTCATGCAAGAAAAGGCTCTTTCATTCTTATAGCTGAACTCAACCAATAATCAGGAAGGTTGAGAACAAAGAAGGGCGAAAGGAAACTGTTTTTTTTTTTTTTTATAAAGAGCATATTGATATCCTCTAAAATGCTAAAAAGTTATATACTATTAAACTATAGGAGGGAGCTGTATTAAAATATAATTTAAGTTGTATAAAATAATCCATGAACAACTAAACCTTCAACATCGTGAACAAAACAGTAACTTACAGCATTGGCTGTGGTGCCCAGTCCATCATAATACATCACTCCTAGCTGGTAAGTTGCTTGGTGATCTTTCTCCTGGATTTCTTCAAACTGTTCCAAGGCTTCTTCATACCATCCCTAGAAGCTCCCAGATAATATTCAATTACTTTTATTATGCTCTTAAATTAATACCAGTTGAGGTACAGGAGGCTGTGCCTCAGCATACAAAGTCAAGAAGTAAAAGCACATCGAATGCTGAGAGATCACATGTTAGCCACTATGCTATGCTATCCTGCAAACTGCAAGAGGACTCCTAGAAAAATATTTGTTTCCAGAATAAAGGAAAACACCACCCAAAGAGAATCTCTTTAAATCTCTAAAGAGACTCAGTAGGATATAGGTAACTAACTGCCCAGATATTCAATAGAACTTCCTTGGCATTTGGTGAAATCCAGATGATAATTTGCACAGTTTCTGTCAGGTCTGCCTCTCGGGCCATCACAGGACGGGTCAATACAAAGGCTGATTCTCTCCTCTGCCTCTGTAGGAACACCTAAGCTACCTTTAAATACTAAATTACATAAGGATCTCCACTATTTATTAATATTAAATTATTTTGCAAACTCTATTAAATACTTTGAGACATAACGTATTAGACTTTTAATTTATTCAGTGGAAACAGACTTCATACTTCCTATAAATAATTCCCATAATTTCAGTACACTGACTTGGTGAAGAGAGGCCAGATACCTCCTTAAGCAGTATGTCAGGCCTATGTTATTTCACAGAATTTTCATGGTAGAATATGTAAAGAACTCTGTAAGAAATTTTGCTGTGAGGACTAACAACAGAATTATTGAAAACAGATCAAGAAAATCAAAAAAGGATACCTCTTCAAAATAGAGTTGACCTCGTAGAAAATAGGCAAGAGCATCCCCTTTTCTTATCCTTTCCTTCAAGATCTGCAGTGCCTTATCCACCAAATTAGCATGGCTGTAACAATCTGTATTTAAACAGGTAAAAGTGCCAATAGCCAGACAGTAGGAGTTTTCCGAGTGTTACAGTACACAGGATCCACTTCACACTGTTAATACTAATTTCAACGTTAATTTTCTGATCTCTTCGGCTTAAGGATAAACATTACATTTAAAACAAACAAAAACTTTACCACAGCATCCATCACAGTGCCTTTTATCACTAAGACATATTTGTTGATTGATTTTCAAACCACCCCTGTCCACTGCAGGTAGGAGCTCTAGCTAAGCAGTCTGTACTAATGCACTGGATTTTCTCTGTGGAAAGCTGCACTGTATAAATTAGTTCATTCTTAATTTAAGTCTCAGCTGGAACTACTAAAATCAAATGAACTAATTATAGCTTAATTTTTGTAAGCCCATGGAAAAAACTAATGATAGTGTTAGATGCCTGTTTCTAGGGAAGTACAGTGTCTGGCTTCTTCACTCTAGAAGCATGTCTATAAGTCCTGAGAGTAAAGCCAGGATCAAGATTGAATTGTGAGGCTTCTCCATTGATAACGTGTCACCAAGTAAATGAAGTAGCAATTTCAGATATTTGTAGTAAAGCTAGGAAGACTATAAAAATCAACTATGTTCTTAAAGTCACTTTAGACAAATTATTAGAGAAATTAGACAAATATTTTGTGTCTCATTTGCTCTGGTGGTCATAGTAAACTTTTAGTAAAAATGGTTCCCAAGGGAAGATTATATATCTAGATTTATACCAGTCTTCTTCTTCCACTGGAAGAATTTTTGGTTCTTAGCAGCATAATGAGATAAAGAGGCATAATAGGAATTCTTGGGTAACTTTTCACTGGTTAACTTCATCCTATCTCCACAAGGTATATCCTGAGAACAAGAATAAAAAAATAAGAAGGTAGAAATTATTCTCTTCTGAAAAGTGCAAGAAAGAGACTCCATTCCCAGCAAGCACTCATCATTAAAAGCATCCCTCCTCCCTCCCCTAGAGAGAGGATCACGAACAACCATCTCTGACATGTTAAGATTCTTTTCCTCAGTACCGTCCTTGGCTCTGAGACAACTGTTCTACACACTGCTTCCACTGCGTGAAATTAATGATAAGACCCATTTGCAAGTCCTGCATGGCTATAAGTTCATATACTGCAATGAGTCATTCAGTCATAACAACTGCTGCCAGTTATGGGAATCAGGGATGCCAACCTAGACATAGCTCTTGGGTATGGGACCCTTCTGTTTCTTGTAAATGAAGATCATCACATATACCAATTTCAAATGCAAGCATCTGTTTTACCTGGAACTGTATTTTATTTCAGCTGTGTTGATCAGTTTTATCTTCTCGTCTGTACTGCCTTGCCATGCTGTAAGATGGATCACAACTGAATGGTAAATCAGAATCTTCATATAAAAAGCCAAGGCCACCTCATTTGGGCTGAAGGAGTCCAGGTTGGCCTAGCCTGAGGGCAGCTAGACTACAAACTCAGTTGTTGCTATGCTGTTGTATTTACTCCTTGGCATTCTACTGCTGCAATGTATGTTCACCAATCAGGAATGAGCTTCTAGTTAAGACTGTTGATTGGTGATCAAGAAAAGAACTGAAGAGATCCTCAGTGTGATTGGAGAACTGCAATTATGTAAGTACATGGTTCTTTTTTGAAAAATAAATCACTTCTTTAAACATCCATGAAGTGAAGGAAAGGAAGATAATACAGCATACAAGGAGAGAAAAATCACTGAACCACTTTTATAACTGTGGAAGAGTCGTTGAATCTTTGTAAAAGTCAATTTCTGTATCTGTAGCTTGAACAATAAGTGGTCTGAACTAAATGATTATTTTCAAAAGTCCCTTCCTAGTTAAAGAACTCTGATTATGTGATTCTCAAAATCTGATGGCTGCATTTGTGAATATAGAAATCCCAATGAACTTTAAGGTGATACAATATTAAGTAAGGAATTTGAAAGAAAAACAGTTCAAATAGGATGATGCCGACAGCACTGTAAGTTATCATTTCTAAGCTACACGTAGAATTTTTTTTTCATTGAAGACATTAACTCAGAGTGCTGCTAGATTCAAAAAGACCACGCAAAACTGGGCATATTCAGGGTGGGCATCAGAAAAGAAACACATGGGCATGGTGTGGTAGCCTAGTGGCTTAAGTCCTTGCCTTGCATGCATCGGGATCCCATATGGGTGCCAATTCGTGTCCTGGCTGCTCCACTTTCCATCCAGCTCCCTACTTTCAGCCCAGGAAAGCAGTAGAGGATGGCCTAAAGCCTTGGGCCCCTGCACCCATGTGGGAAATCTGAAAGACGCTCCTGGCGTCAGATTGGCTCAGCTCTGGCCATTGCGGTCACTTGGGGAGTGAATCAGCAGATGAGAGATCTTTACTCTCTGTCTTTCCTTCTCTGTAAATCTGACTTTCCAATAAAAATAAATAAATCTTTAAAAAAAGAAAGAAACGAAACACATGAGAAAACAGTTATCTTACCTCATTTAAACTCCCATTAGCCTCTGTGATCTTAACACTGCACATGGTTTTTGTTGCTGTGGCCTGACAGAAGGGTTGGAAAGGATCTGCAAAATCAAATGAGATGGCTGGAGCTATAGTAGGTGTCAGGTACTGTTCTTTGGTCCAAGTGCTTTACAGGTAATATGTCCACTAAAATTTTGCTAAATAAGGACTACTGTAAGCAGATTTTGGGGTTAGCATAGTGGCTCAACTGGCTAACCCTCTGTCTACCAGCACTGGCATCGCACGTGGGCACCAATTCATGTCTGAGCTGCTCCAGGTTCCATTAGTTCCCTGCTTATGGCTTGGGAAAGCAGCGGAGGATGGCTCAAGCCCCTGAGCCCCTGCACTCACCCAGGAGATCCAGAAGTTCCTGGGTTCAGATCAGCTGTGCTCCAGCCATTGCAACCACTTGGGGAGTGAACCAGCAATGGGCGATCTGTCTTTCTCTCTGTAAATCTTCCTTTCAAATAAAAATAAATACGGAATTGGTACAATGACCCAACTGACTAATTCCTCACCTGCAAGTGTCTGTATCCTACATGGGCACCGTTTCGTGTCTTGGCTGTTCTATTCCCCATTCAACATCCTGCTTTGACTTGGGAAAATAGTGGAGTGGCCCAAAAGCCTTGGGACCCTGCACCCCTGTGAGAGACCCAGAGGAGGCTCCTTGTGGACTGGCGCCATTGTGGACATCTGGTAAGTGAGCCAGCAGATGTACAATTTTTTTTTTTAACCTTTTAGCTTTCTTTTAAATATTATTTACATAGTTGAGAGGGATGCATGCCTATGTGGGCCTCCAATTACAGTGGGAAGGGTCAGGTATGGAGGAAGGTGGGTGAGACAAATATTTCAATTTTTTTTTCCTTCCCCTGTGTTCACAGGTGAGGAATGGGAGGGAGGCTGCTCCTTGCTGTCAAACTACATCAGCCCCGGCAATGCGGGAAGGTCATTGGAGAACACTTTGGAGACCCTGATATAGGAAAGAGTATTCTAAGAATATTATTTTTCGTTTTTGTAAGAATTTTAAAAAAAGCTTTATTTATTTTTTATTGGAATGGCAGATATACAGAGAGGAGGAGAGACAGAGAGGAAGATCTTCTGTATGATGGTTAACTCCCCAAGCAGCTGCAATGGCTGAAGCTGAGCCTATCCGAAGCCAGGAGCCAGGAGTTCTTCCGGGTCTCCCACACAGGTGCAGGGTCCCAAGGCTTTGGACCGTCCTCTACTGCTTTCCCAGGCCACAAGCAGGGAGCTGGATGGGAAGTGGGGCTGCCTGGATTAGAACCGGCGCCCATATGGGATCCTGGTGCGTGTAAGGCGAGGACTTTAGCCACTAGACTATCGCGCCAGGCCCCTAAAGATATTGTTTTTCTGTCTCTTCTTCTCTCTGTAAATCTGCCTTTTCAAGAAACATAAATTTTCAAATAAACAAATCCTTAAAAAATAAGTACCCTTTAATATGTGAAGATACTGAAGCTCCTGGGGAGGTGATTTGCCTCAGGTCCCCGGGCTACAAAGGAGGACAGCTTGGGGCCCTAGCCCCCTATTTTATTTCTCCACCAAGGAAAACTAATAGGATGAATTATTTTTATGTATTTTGGAGGCAGAGGGAAGAGAGAGAGAGCTCCCTACCAGTGCTGGTTCACTGCAGAAATACCTACAACAGCTGTGGCTGGGCCAGGAAGAAGCAAGGAACAGAGAAACAGCAATGCAGGCTGCCATATGTGCAGTAGAAACACAACCAGAGCGAGCATGCTACCTCTCAGATCTGCATTAGCAGGAAGAAGGTGCCAGGAGCCTGAGCCAGGTACACAACCTATACACTTCAACATGGGACATGGGTATCTTATCCAGTGTCTTCACTGATAGGTCCAGCACTGCCCCACAACATGATTTTTTTTTGTTAATAATATGGTAGCACTCCTAGAAGAGGGTAGTTTCAACTTTATTGCTACTTAATTTGAGAAAATGAAGACTAAGGTTGAAAAAATCAAGGGTATAGGTTTATTTCTTCCAAAATCTTGGGATCAACTATAAAATCATCATTAGAAACTGGACAACTACTTGCATTATATGCTGTAGATTTAGAATATTCTGTAACAGAAATTGCAGGCATTAATTTTGATATAGAATTTGAAGAAAATCTATGGCTTCAAAGGGACTGGCAGGTGCTGTGGATGCTGGTGGCACTCTTCTCAAATTCCTTTTTTATGAGTTATTGTCACTACCCCCAGCTACCTGATTGTCAAAGCAGCTCATTGCTGGGCCTTCCCTGTAGCTTTGTCTCCAGACGAACCTGAGTTCCTTCACCCTGAGATCTTTTCTTTCCTCCTTGGAGACAGATCACTGGGAAAACCAGCCCCCTCTAAGGAGAGGTGGCCTATCTTGTGGTCGAACATTCCTCCTCATTCTTATTGGGTTAAGAATGTAAGCTCTGGTTTGTCTTCATGTGACATATTCTTAGGGTTCAGTTTGCCGCAGGTAACCAGATGAGATGAAGCACTGTTTCTAGAGAACAGAAGGCTTACTTTTCATAAAAATCAGTGAGTCTCTCAAGCTCAGTGTTCTTCTCTTACAAACGAGCATGTTTGGCTCTTGTGTCATTTATGTGAGAATTGAAGGGCATGAGGGACTGGTTCAAACATCAAGCTGATGGGCCCGGCGGCGTGACCTAGTGGCTAAAGTCCTCGCCTTGAATGCGCCAGGATCCCATATGGGCACCAGTTCTAATCCTGGCAGCTCCACTTCCCATCCAGCTCCCTGCTTGTGGCCTGGGAAAGCAGTCGAGGATGACCCAAACCCTTGCGACCCTGCCTTGAGACCTGGAAGAGGTTCCTGGTTCCCGGCTTCAGATAGGCACAGTACCAGCCGTAGTGCTTACTTGGGGAGTGAATCATTGGATGTAAGGGTAACTTTCCTTCTAATGAGGTGTTAGCCTACATTGTGAGTAGTATGTGAACTTGTGAATAAAACATATTTTATTGGTAACAGTACTAAAATTAGCTTGCAGATAAGTAACCTTCCTTACAATGTGAATGACAGAAAATGAAGAGAATGATTTGAGAGTCATTCTATAGACACTGGAGATGTCAGTTCTTTGATAATCAGCCAAATAGAACTGCAGCCTTGCAGAGCAAGAGGAAGCTCATGACTATTTCCCCAAAGCTCCAAGTAAGTTATCACTGCTGTGCTGTTATGCCTTAACCAGAATTAGAATCAGAATAAAAATAAAAGGAAATTGTAAGCGCCTGTTTAGAATTGGATCTTGGTAACTAAAAAGAGATACATATATGAGCAAGGGATGATTGAGCCAGCCTTAATCATAATATTGAAAAACTTTCGGGCTACCAACGTGGCTTGGTGGGAAAAGCTACCATCTGTTGACGCCAGCATCCCATATGGGCAATGGTTCATGACCAGCTGTTCATGTGCAATTCCTGCTCCCTTTTGCTCATGGCTTAAGAAAGTCTCAGGAAAATGCCCTAAGTATTAGAAGCCCTGCTACCCAGATGAGAGGCGCAGCAGCTCCTGGTTGTGCTTTTCCCCAGCTTTGGTAGATCTCAGCTTTGGTGGATGCTGCCATCTGGGGCATAAGTGAACCAGTGGATCAAAGAATTTTCTCTACCTCTCTCTTTTTCTGTTTACCTCTTTCAAAATAAATAGTTTTAGAAAAGCATTAATTTTTTTTTTTAGGTTAAACTATTAAGCACTGACTACAGAATGAGTATAAGTTATATGTGTGTCTGTTGTGCTGGATTTTGATATCCCCAGAAAATCATTGAGTCTGAAATTGGTGCTAATGCATGAAGGTGGTTTATTCAGGTTAGCCTAGGTCTCCCAGCCCCCTCCCCCAGCCCAGCGGGCTGGGAGGGGGAGGGGCAGCTGCAGCAGAGGCTACAGCAGGATCAGCAGTGAGGGGAAGAGAAGGCAAAAGCAGCCAGGTTGACCGCACAGGGATCTCATACATTTCAGGACAATTCCCTATAATTATACAGTCATGATTGGTCAGTTTGACTGTTAACTTTTAAAAAGAGCAAGTTGGCAGACTTCTATTGGTGGGTTTGAAGCAAGCAACTTCCAAAAGATACAAAATAATGGGCCATAGGACCATGGGTCTTATCTAACACCAGGGACCTCCTACGTCTGCCTACGTGACCCGCCAGGTGTCCTGCCAGGTGTCCTGCCAGGTGTCACCTAGACTATCAGGCCCTGAGTTCACACAGCCCCCAGCCAAGCAATTAAGGCAGAATCACAAAAGCAGAAAACATCTAGGTTCTTTATGTTTGTAGAGTAGCAAACAATTAACATAAAAATACTTGTTACTTTAAAAAAAATGTTACCTTTATGTCTGCTTATCTCCTGATTTTTATCCCTCTTCCATTTCCACTCCAGCAGTCTAAGTTCCTGTTCCCAACTAGAATCTTCTGCATGTTTCTTGACCGTTCACACTTTTTCCTGTTAAATGTCGCCTTTTTGGGGGGAAGGGGATTTGGATTGTTGCTCTAGTATGTGTGTCTCATAAGCACACGTTTAGGTTTGTCAACGTTTTTCCTACTCAGGGTGATAATGTTTGCTACTGGAACATTTGTTTCTTTCACATTGTTATCATTAAATTGAAATTTTTATTTTGTATTGTCATTGTGCTTCATTCGGGCTTCTTTCTGTACTGCCTTTTGATGGATCCGCTATGCCTTGATTGGATTAAGATATTTAACATCGGATTTGCTGGCTTCCTGCATCTTCGGTTGCCATCTTCTAACTTTCCAGTCAGAACGTATTTGAATGTTTCCTAGGGCTGTTGCAACAAATTACCAAAAGTTTTAAGGCATAAAGTCACAGAAATTTACTTCAAGAGAGCTCTGGGCTTGGAATCCAAATTCTAGGGGGTCAGGAGGGGTCTGCTTCTGGGGAACAAACACCCTAATTCCAACCGCACAGCAAACTCCAAGCCAGCCATTTACCACAGCCCTGCTTCCCGGCGGAGCAGCCCGGGGTCACTGCTCCTCGCAGCGGGAAGACCCCGCGGTCCTAACCGGCAGTGGCTGCGGTCCTGGAGGGTGAGATGGACATTTCCGCTGACGATCCATTACTAAAGGCTGCCTGATTTTAACGTTCGTTTAATTTGCGGGTGGGTTGCGGGCAATTCCTGCGGTAAAACCCCAAAATTCCAGTTAACCGCTTCCCACAGCCCGAGCTCCCGCTTTCCCCCTCCCATCCCCTCAGGCCTTGGCGACAGCGGCGAGCGGACCGCTCCGTCCTCTGAGGGACGCGGGCCAGCTTCCCGCTTGCCGGTTTCCAAAGGGAAATGTCCACCGAGAGCTATTTAGGGCCCCCTGGCTTCCTGGTACGTGCGTGGAAGCAGAAACCCAAGCCTCGGCCCGCGCCTCCCGCTTCTCCAGAGGGATTAAAGGGCTGGGCCCGCTACGTGAGACGTGTCACAGTGGGCCCTCCTCATGGCGGCGCGGAGCCCGGCCGCTCCTCGCCGGCCTCCCCGGCCCGGGCCCTCCCGCGCACGCGCACGCGCCGAGCCCCGCCCACCGGTGGGCGGGCCTGCCCTTCGGCGGCGGGCTCTGGCGGGCGGGCGGACCGGCGCTGCTCGGCTCTCCCCCGAGGCCGCTGCCGGGTTGCACATGGCAGTGTTTGCGTACGTGCGGAGGCCGCCAGCCAGGGGAAAGTCCCAATAGCTAAGGATTAGGCTGCTGGAGCGCGGCCAAAGCCGGGGTGCGGCGGCTGGAGGCCGGCCCGGTAGCCCTGGCTGTGTGGAAATCTTCGTGCGCTGGCGCGAGCTTGTGCACTCTTACCTGCCACTCTGCAGTTGTGCGTCCCACTTGTCTACACTTCCCGGAGACCCCTGGACCCAGCGAAATGCTGTTGCTTGATTGCAACCCGGAGGTGAGACTCGGGCCCCTTTGGTCCCGCGGGTTGCAGCCTCCGGATGTCTGCCTTCTCGGGGGTGTGGGAGAGACGGACAGAGGACCGATCACCGGCGCGGCCGAGTCAAGCCTCGTCAGGGGTGGATGATTTGGGGAGGATTTTCAGCCCGGAGTCGGCGCAGGACCGGAGAAACAACAGTGCAGGACGTGTTCTCTTCTCGCAGGTGGACAGCCTGAGGCATCTGCTGCAGACCGGGGCTTCGGTTAACGCACCACCGGATTCTTGTGAGCAGTCACCTGTCCACTTGGCCGCAGGGGGCGGCCTGGCTTGTTTGCTTCTCTGGCAACTGCAAACAGGCGCTGACCTCAACCAGCAGGTAACTAGGTAACCGATTGTTGCTGTGAACAGCCCTCCCCTCCACCTCAGACCCACAGGCGCGTCCTAGGTGCCGGCATATTCATTAGTTTGTTGCCATAGGCAGGTCTATAGCAGGGATAGCAAACAGAAATAGCATGGGAACATGTATGTCATAAAGGATAGTATAGCCATACTAACAAAGGTAAACAAAACAGGAAATTAGTTTTAGTAATTTATCCAAAATGTTGCAATATGTAATCAATGGAAAACACTGACTGAATAGCGAAATTGACATTTTCGTTTCATAGGATGACTGCTGGTCTGGGGTTGCTGTTACAGCATAGCACAGTTCAGACTAGCCACTCCTGCACACACGCTAGGCCTAAATGGCCATTGGCTGTCACCTTGGACAGCAGGAGTCTAGTTTATTTTGAAAGAAGCAATTCTTGCAATACCAAAGTCTCAGTATGGCAACTCAAAGTCCTCGCGAGGTGTGTCTGCTGAACTTTTATGATAGTTTACATCTGCCATTGCCTGTTAGCAACTGGTGAATTTTTACGTAACTTTTGGACTTCTGTAGAACTCTGTTTTGCATGTAGTCACTTAAGTGATGGATGGATGTGACTGATGGCATACTGTAGCTGTTTGTACAATGAAAAGATTGCATGGGATACTAAGGGAACTTTATCAAGAATAAAAGGTCAGTCCAGGGACCCATGTTGTGTCCTGCTGGGTTAAGCAGCGGTGTGGACCATGGGCATCCCATACCAGAGTGAAGGTCGTTTGAGTCCTGGCCACTGCTTCAGACCCATCTCCCTGCTAATGCAACCTGAGAGAGCAACAGAGGTTGTTGGTTCAAGTGCTTGGGTCTGTGCAACCCAATTACTGCCACCTCTCATGTGGGTGCCCTGGTGCAGTTCTCAGGGTGCCACATGGGGTGTGAAGCAGCAGATGGGAGATGGTTCTTTTTCTACTTCTCTCTGCGTTTCAAATAAACCAGTCTGTAGCCTGCTCTCTTCAGATGGCTGGTGTGAGGCCAGCAAAGGCCTCTTGGGGGAAGAGGACCACTGTGTGCTGTGTTACCTTTCAGGATGTTTTGGGAGAAGCTCCGCTGCACAAGGCCGCCAGAGTTGGAAGCTTGGAATGCCTCAGCCTGCTTGTAGCCAAAGATGCCCAACTTGAGTGAGTGTAAAATCAGTGGTTCTCAAATTTGAATTTTTCTTACATTGACTGGACTTCTAAGGCTTCACTATGTGGGCTTTATAAAATAATGCTTGCTTAATGGATAATTTAGTGTTACCTAACGCAGGTTAACTGGGGCTCTTGGGGAAATTTAATAATACTCAATTTGAGTAAAAATGGAAATGGATCCTAATTGGTCACAGGTATGATATTTTTTAAAAAGATTTATTTGTTTTATTTAAAAGTCAGAGAGAGGCAGACAGAGATCTTCCTTCTGCTGGTTCACTCCCCAAATGGTTGCAAAGGCCAGAGCTGGGGCTGATCAGAAATTGGGAGCCTGGATCCTAGAGTTTCAATCTGGTCTCTGACCTGGGTACAGGGGCCCAAAGCCTTGGGCCAGCTTCCACTGCTTTCCCAGGTACATTAGCAGGGAACTGGATCAGAAGTGAAGCAGTTGGGACTTAAACTGGCACTACAGTTGGAGGATTAGCCTGCTGTACCTCTGCACAGGCCCTACAATTCTGTTTTTATAGTAGTGGTCTACTTAAAATTTAGTTTTGGAAAACCTCTTCTATAGAAGTTTACACTGACTATACCTCTTGGTATTCCTTTGCTATATTTAATACCTGCTACTGTTGTGTTCACTGATACGTGAAATTTCTATGCTGAGCTGGACTCTGCTAGCCACCGAATATACAAGAGTGGCCAAAAAAGAAGTTTACTTCTATTTTGCAATTAACGTTTGTAGAAGCCCCAAATTTCTTTATTAAAAATATAAAAGGGACTGGGGCCATGGCACTGCACATTAAGCCTCTGCTCACAGCCTTGGCATCCCTTATGGGCACAGGTACAAGTTCCAGTTGCTCCATTTCTGATTCAGCTCCCTGCTAGTGTGCCTGGTAAAGCAGCACAAAAAGATGGTTCAAGTCCTTGCTCCCCTGCACCCACGCGAGAGACCTGGAAGAAACTGCAGGCTCCTGGCACCACCTTGGTCCAGCTCTGGCGAAAACCAGCAGATAGAAGATCTTTCTCTGTCTCTACTTTTCTCTACCTTTAAAAAAAAAAAAACTTTAGGAAAAAAATGAATTTCCATTTATCTCAGTTTTTGTTCTAATTTCAGCTTATGTAATAAGAATGGACAAACAGCTGAAGATCTTGCGTGGTCATGTGGATTTCTGGAATGTGCCAAATTTCTTACAACAGTAAAATCTATGCAGACGATAAAATCAAGGGGACAGTCCAACAGCGATCATTGTGTTCCAGTGCTCAGACAGAAGCGAAGTTTTGGAAGTGCAGAATCTACAAATGGGAAAAGGAAGTGTTGGTGAGTAACTCCCAGCCGTTGCTTTCTCTTCCTTGGCAATCCCTTATTTGATGTAGAATTTATTGTGACATTTAAATTCTGACATTGTCATTTCCAGTATTATCTTCTCATTCTCATTGGAATTTCAAAACTGGTTTCAGTGCTTACTACAACTGGATTCTAGAGCCTGAACATGAATTATTCTGCAGGGTGGGACAGCTTATTTTTTTTTTTTTCTTTTTAAAAGCCTTTAATGCTGGCATGTTTTTTTTAAAAACAGATGTGCTCATGAAGAAGTCCGAGGATGGCCCTCATTTCGTGCAGACCGACAAAAGCTGTGGCTTTTGGTTTACCAAGGTGTGTTTGAGCTCCATCTCAGGAGGACAGTTTTCTTCCAAGTGAAGACAACGTTTACGCGTACATGTATTCACATGTCTGCTATACATTGTTGTACATGCTTTGTCTTTAAGTTATTAAAGGGATATTTAAAGAAATTATTTGTGATATCTCACAGCTTTTGGAAAAAAATCATACTTGAAGCCATTAGATTACACCCTGAATCTAATTTAATTTGAGATGATTAAGCTTATTCTTTTGATAACAAATTTATAATACTATTTCAGTACAGCCTTCGAATTCCTAGATATTTCAAATAACATTTGGTCGTTGAGGAAGACATAAGTTATAGTAAGCATCCTTGTTCCAGAAGTCTGGGCCCTTCCAGCCACACCAGCCCTGGAATGGGGAGAGCAAAAGAAAACATTTTACAAAGTCACAAGACCTCATGGAATACATCTCTAAATAACTATGCAATTCAAGGATTAAGCATAGAAATATAACTTTGGGTCCATTTAAGGCAGATTTCTACCTTTAATTCTATTTAACAGTGGAAATAGAAAAATAAAATGTCCTCACAGTAACTGTTCCTTCAGATACACGTGTTGTTGACTTTAAGGTGTTCAGCTTTATAACTGCAGGCAGGCAGTACTGTGAACTGTCCCTCAGAGTCTGTAAAGGGCTGCGCTGTGGCCTGCACGGGTTCAGGCGACATTCATCTTAACCATAATGAAGCCTGGGAGTCAGGAATCCAAGCTTGCTAGACAGGGTGCCCTGATTGGGGTGTCGGGGGAGCCACACTTCTTCCCTTTGTAAAGGCTGGCCTGGGAACTCCCAGAAGAGCTCTGATGTCCCATGGGACAGGAGAGAGGGCAGAGGGAGGCAGGACCCTCCGGGGGCCTCCTATACTCCAAGTGAGTCAGGGGCACCACTGATGTCCCAGTCCTGGCTGCAGAGTGTTGCAGGTGCCCTGCAAGGGTAGGTGGGTTCTTGCCATGGCACAGTTCTGCAGAACGAGAACTTGCAAAGAGATTGCAATTCTCAGAGGTGACCAGGGACAAGGCTTTCAGAAACCTTGTCCAGACACTGAAGGAATCCAGTTTATTATGTTTATCACTCCCTTGATGCAGATCATTTGAGCTTCTCCCTGGCTTTTAGATAAAAGTCCCAGTGTCTTGCTTCTTGGTGACTACCTTTCTCTAGCTCCTGCCAGTTCCTGTAGCCACGCCTTTTCTGTGTTCCAAGCACATTTCTGTGAATAAGCCTCTGCTATCAATCTTAGAAACCCACCTCAAATTGCATTTCTTTGCCTTTGGAAATTTGAAAAGATTATTTTCTTTATTTGAAAGAGAAACAGAGAGGCTGAGAAAGAGACATTACTTTCCATCCTCTACTTTGTTTCCCAAATGCCCAAACATGGGTGGGGCTATGCAAGGCCAGAGCTAGGAGCCAGAAACAGAACCTGGGTCTCCTTGAGAATGAAATTTCAGACTCACCTCTGTCATTTTAAGCTAAAGAGAGTGCTCCTTAAAGACCTATCTTGGGTTCTGCATGGTGGTATAGGATGCTTACCCTTTGCCTGCAGTGCTGGCATCCCAAATGGGTGTTCGTTTGAGTCCCAGCTGCTCCACTTCCAATCCAGCTCCCTGCCTGTGGCCTGGGAAAGCAGCAAATAGCCCAAGTGCTTGCATCCCTAAATCCATGCAGGAGACCTGGAAGAAGCTCCTAGCTTTCAGTTTTGGACCAATACAACTCTGGACATTCCAGCCATTTGGGGCAGCGAACCAGAGGGTGGAAAATCTCTCAACTCTGCCTTTCCAATAAAATTAAGTAAATCTTGAAGATTTTTTAAAAAAGATTTTAAACATTTGTTTAATTTTATTGGGAAGGCAGATTTATTGAAAGAAGGAGAGACAAAGAGAGAGAGTTTGCATCCACTGGTTCACTCCCCAAGTATCTGCAATGGCTGGAGTTGAGCCAATCTGAAGCCAGGAGCAAGGAGCTTATTCTGGATCTCCCAGGCAGGTGCAGTGCCCCAAGACTTTGGGCTGTTCTCTACTGCTTTCCTGGGCCACAAGGAGGGATCTGGATGGAAGTGGAGCAGCCAGGACATGAACTTGTGTGCATATGGGATCCCAGCAATTGCAAGGCAAGGATTTAGCCACTAGGCTACTGTGCCAGGCACCCCAAAATAAATCTTTAACAAGAAAATATTAAATTCCAAAATTCTTGAAAGAGAAAAAGCAAGGGAAAATCTACTCTTACAGCTTTAGCAATTTAATATTCTTTGCAACTTCCAAAAACACTTTAGCAATGGCCCAATTTTAAACCATGTTAACTCCCCAGGAATCTTGCTGTTAAAAATAAACAAAACAAACCTAATTAAACCATAATTTAACAGCTCTAGGAAACCCTTCTATAAGTGATAACATGACAAAAGAACAGTGGGTTATAGTAGAACATGTTCATCAGTTTCCCTATTTAATATATGACAGGGAATATAGATGTTGTTTAACTAAAGTTATTGATATCTTATAGTACTTATCTCCACAAGATTTGGTACAGGCTGCATATCCCTACTATGAAGATCTGAAACCCATTGCATTCAACTGATAAAGTTCATTCAGATATTCCAAAATTCAAAACAACATTGACAGCTAAAATACTTTTGATCTCAAACATTCAGATCAGGGACTCCACTTATAATATGTTTTCAGGTGTGAGAATTATTTGTATGAATTTATGACTTCTTTAGCTGATATTTTAAACAACAAATTCTCCAAATCTGGCTCCACTTCAAATCCTTTATAGAATGAAATCGGGTTACACGTAGATAAATTAAAAATCATCAATCTCCAAAGGCCTAATATATGGCTTAGCTTTTTTGTTGTTAATCTCAAACTATAAATACACTCTCCTATTTTAAGACATTGATGAACCTTGAAATATTTCTTCCTGAAAAGCTTAGGTATATAAGCTTTATGTTCTATTATTAAGTTTACTTATGGAGAAAGATTATAAATCAAATCTAAATTTTGGCTTTTGCAATTCACTTCGCACCCTCTTTCCTCTCTTGGAGGCACGGCTGCTCACTGCAGCCTGGATACCTTCTCAGAGCAGAAACTGGGCGCTGTCATAGCCAGCTGGGAGAAGCTGCACCTGGGCACTGTTAGCCAGCTAGCTGCCCTTTGTTTCTAGGTTCTTTGCCTTGGTTCTCAATTTGTATTAGATGGTGGCACTTACCTTTTCCAAAATAACTTGCAGATCTTCAGACCCTGTATAATGTGGATCTAGAATCAGAAATTTTATCTGCCCTGTGATCTCATTCCATGCAACTCCTAGTATTGTGTGAGCCAAAACACCTCCCCCTGTGGAAGAAACAGGAAATACAAAAGAGGGCATAAACTAATCTCATTTGTTTATTCAATTGACATTAAAAGACCAATTAAAGTATTAGTGTAGTAAAATTGACTATTCACATGGTAAAAGACTACCAAGTCAAATACTCCAAGACAAAATTCTATCTTTAGTCTGTAAACTATCTAGTTACATGTATAATTATAGACAGCTTATATTCAACTATTATAACCATAGAGGTAAAGTGACTTTAGAAATGGCCAGCAGTGCAAGCTCCTCCCTGAAAAGCGACAAGCCATGCTGTGGTGCTTCCTGCAGCAGGAGTGTGGCTGCCTCCTAGTAAGAAAGTCCAGCCTCTGCTTAGGCTGTTTCTGATATTCCCAGGACTCCAGCCTCAGCTTACCTTCTGACCTCACAGGACAAGTCTTGTCTTCACAGAGTTGTGCATCGTTACACCAGCTAATCCTGTCCTCTTTATTTTATAAACAAATCCCAGAGAGACACAGTAATGTGCACAAAGTCACACAGCCAGCCAAGTTAGGATGCTCACTGAATGATTATCTCATCTCCGTTCTCAGCTCTTTAAATGACTAAACACATCATTTCTCTTCTTAGCTTTTATTTCTTCCTGTTATAATCTTTCTTTGCATTATTAAATATTTATGCTAATGATAAGTCTGACACTTTGTCCCTCACTGTAAGATAAGTCTAAGGTACCTTACCAATCATGACTGGAGTTCCTTCACTCTGGAAATGGTTAGCCAGTTCCCGTCCTTGAGAGGCCATTTCTGAACCCTGGCTGGAAAGAAACCGTTTCCATCACATGGTTACTTTCAATGTTAAGGTCATATAATAAACTTGAGGAGCCAATGTTGTCTACGATTTTGTTTTCTAGCTTGTTGAAAAACACTCCAGGAAGTGACTTAAAAGAGAGCAGTTTAAAGCAACATAAACTTTTAAATATCCTAGTAAAGTAAATAAGGTCCTCAATATACTTTTTAAGACTTATTTCTTTTACTGGACAATCATACACAGAGAGGAGGAGAAACAGAGAAAGATTTTCCATTGCTGGTACACTCCCCAAGTGGCCGCAATAGCTGAAGTTGAGTCGATATGAAGCCAGGAGTCAAGAGCTTGTTCCAGGTCTCCCACATGAGTGCAGGGTCCCAGGACTTTGCCCCATCCTCTACTGCTTTCCCGGGCTACAAGCAGGGAGCTAGAAGGGAAGGGAAGTAGAGCAGCCAGGGTATGAACCGGTGCCCATATGGGATCCCAATGAGTGCAAGGCAAGGATTTAGCCCCTGGGCCATCACGCCACGCCAGGTCCTCGATTTTTAAAATGAGGTTGAAACTGGCCTCCTTCATGTTCAGGGGGCTCTTATTTCTTGCTGTTAGACTTCAAAGTCTGCTTTTTCATCTTTAAACTGGAGACAATAGCACCTAGCCTATAAATGTGACAGAGGGGACAGTAGGACAAAAACATGTCTGGGAAGCTCATGTAGAAACTGCAAAATGTGTTGAGAGAAATGTATTCTATTTCAGGGAATATTTCAATGCACTACATAATTTGTGCTTTCAAGAAGAGAGACCAACAAAAGGAGGTAATTTTTGGTGGGAGGAGCCACATGTAACTGAAGCTTAGCTCTTCCTTGTAAAAATTGTATCAATAGTCATTTAATGTGCCAAAACCTTTACTTTTCAAAAGGTCTTCAGTACTTAACCTATCTTGTAAGTACTGAGTCCATCTTTCTCTATCTCATTCTCTCTATAAATCTTTCAAATAAAATAAACAAATCTTAAGAAAAAAAAAGCTACTTAGCCCCATAATTAGAAGTAAGTAGTTATAATGACAGAAAATAATATTATTTAATTAAGTTTTTTATATTATAGCTATGGTTAAACTTTACTGGAAAAAGATAAAATGAGTACAGTGGACATATTTTTGGCTTATTAACATATTAGGAAGAAAAACGCAGGAAGCAAACAAAGTCAGTCACGGACCAATACTTGATTTTCTCCTTTGCAAACTTTTTAAAGACTTGAGTATTAAAAAAGACTGTATAACTTTAGTCAAAGTTAACATATTTCAGTATTCCTCTTGGCTAAAATTAGGTCTAGGAAATACAAGCAAAAAATCAGAGCATTTACTTATGAATAGAAAAGTCTCCTACAAAAATCACCAAGAAAAAGGATTGAAAAAGAAGAGATTTCTGGAACGATATGGTAATGAGGAGGAAAAGAAAGGAGCAAAAATACATGAGGGCAAAGAAAATACTGACATTTTTCTTTTATTTTCATTAAAATGACAAGTTATCACTCTAAATGATTACTTTTTTGAAGGGCCTTACCTGACAAACAGAATTTTGGAAGTTACCCCAATCAGTTGGTTTAGCACTAGCTGTACCTCGATGGAGCCGATCCACTGCCGTGATCCAACAAATGTTGCTGCTTTGTCACCGGCATCAACTAGGGCCTTTATGCATTAAAAAGAAAAAATCCACACACAAAACGACTATTAAAAATTACATGTATGGCATTTTCCCTGGTTCCCAGTACTTCTTAATTCTTCAAAACTGAAATAAATCTGTACCATGAGGTAATAAGAATCAATGGTAAATTAAGCATCAGAAAAATGCACAATTGATAATGTAAAATGGCATGGATACCTGCTGAATTTCTCTGTGTGTTGGAACGCCCCTGTCAGTGTATCCCTGGTGTCTGAACCAAGAGCAGATAGTCTGCAGCGATCGATAGGCACAGCCCCAGCCATTGTCATCTATCCGGTCCTGCATATAATGGTGATAGCCGTATGTGCCCTGTACCATATAAATCTATGTAAAAAAAGACACAGTAAGACATTAACTAAAGATACAGGTACACTGTGTATACATATATACAGCTGAGTCATGTTTAAGGGTCTCAGAGCTATATTCCAACTATAGCTCATTATAAAAATGCCTTTATAGAGCTATGGATCAATCCCTTCCCTTTCTCCCTTCCTATCTCTCCCAGAAACCTGCATGGCTCTGCAATCCCCTTGTCTATGTAACAAACATTTGAAAATTAATAGATCTAAATTTTAAAAGTCAATTTTAAAAACTGTGGGTCAACATTATATGTACTTGGTTTTTTAACAAAGGTCCCCAGTCTTTGGACCATGGGCCCAGCTAGACCTGCTTTCTGGCCTCTCTCCAGCTCGCTTTTCTATACTTTTCTGTGCTGTTCCCTTTACTTTAGGTTCAAACATACCAGGGGTAGTCAGTCTGACCTTGAAGCATTACAGTTCTCTCAGCCTACAGCATGCTTTTCCCAAGCAATGCCATGACTTACATCTTCATTTAAGTCTCACCTGACTGTTAGGAACAAGTCTTCTCTGCCCACCCAGCTTAACAATAGCATGTTCACTCTTACTACCCACCCTCCATTTTGACAGCCTGCTTTACTTCTTTGTTTTTTGTCTTTCTTTTTAATTTTTGTTTTAGATTGATTTATTTGGATGGTAGTTAGAGAGAGAGAATAAAACAAAGGTACAAATAAAACAGAACACAAATTGTAAAAGGGAGGTCAACAAAGCCAAAAGCTTACATGAAAAAGAGAGAGGGAGAAATGATATGAACAATCAAGGAAGAAAATGTTATAACTACAAGTGGTTTTAGGACCCAGGTTGGGGAGGGGGTCAATATGAGACAGCAGGTAAAGCCACTGTCTGTAACTCCAGCATCCTTTGTGGGCACTGGTTTTTGTTCTGGATACTCCAATTATGATCAATATCTTTGCTAACAGCCTGTGAAAAACAGCAGAAGATGGCCCAAATATTTGGGTCCATCACTCATGTGACTCATGTGCACTGGCCATTGCAGCTGTTGGGGAGTGAACCAGCAGATGGAGGACCTCTCTCTCTGTCTCTCCCTCTCAATCTGTAGCCCTGATTTTCAACATAAACTAATGAATCTTTAATACAACAATAACAAATATAATCGAGTAATTTAACTTCTAAAAATGAAAAAGTCCTTTGGGGTCAGCACAATGGCACAACTGGCTAATCCTCCACTTGAAATGTTGGCATCCCACAGGGGTGTCAGTTTATGTCCTGGCTGTTCCACTTCCAATTCAGCTTCCTCCTGCCTTGGAAAAAAGGGAAGGACGCCCTAAAGCTTTGGACCCTGCTCCCATGTGGGACACCCAGAAGAAGTTTCTGGCTCCTGGCTTTGGATTGTTTTAGCTCCAGCCATCATGGCCATTTGGAGAGTGAACCAATAAATAGTAGATCTTTATGTCTCTCTTTCCTGTAAATCTGCCTTCCAACAAAAAGAAATAACTTAAAAAAAAAAGGGGGGAAAAAGTCCGACCACCACCAATAAAACTGTTATCAAAATGTGTCAGTATACATGGATACAAAAACTAAAGAATGAGAGAAAGAAATTATAAGCCAACATGATTAGCAAACACTGTAGCAAAAATCTTAACGTTACCAAACCAAGTCCATTAGTAATCTGAAAATCAGTTAGTGAATCACAACCAAACTGAGTTCATCTTATGCGTGCCATCTACTACAGTTGGGAGATTAGTGCTGAGCTACGTTAGGGTAAAGAGCATGATGTCTATAATTTTCTTTGAAGTAGTCCAAGGGAAAAAAGGAGAAAAGCAAATGCAGCAGACATTGTTGCAACTCTTACACATGTGCAACTCTTTCACAGCAGGATTGGCTAATGAAAAATAGGAGAAGAATCATGTAAAGCTATGCTGTGTCAAGAAAGATAGCGGGCCCGGTGGCGTGGCCTAGCAGCTAAAGTCCTCGCCTTGAACGCGCCAGGATCCCATATGGGCACTGGTTCTAATCCTGGCAGCTCCACTTCCCATCCAGCTCCCTGCTTGTGGCCTGGGAAAGCAGTCGAGGATGGCCCAAGGCTTTGGGACCCTGCACCTGTGTGGGACACCCGGAAGAGGTTCCTGGATCCTGGCTTTGGATCGGCATAGCATTGGTCATTGCACTCACTTGGGGAGTGAATCATCGGACGGAAGATCTTCCTCTCTGTCTCTCCTCCTCTCTGTATATCTGACTTTCCAATAAATAAATAAATGTTAAAAAAAATGAAAGAAAGATAGCTACCATGGTTAGGCAAAATATCAAAAGCAAGTTGCAAAAGACCACATACAGTAAGGTACATTTTTTGTGAAATCCTAAAAAAGGCAAAACTAAAATTTGTATTGTTGAGGTAATACTTGCATACGTGCTGAAACTGTTAAGGAAGGAGTAATGAACACAAAACTCACTATAACAGGTCATCCTGTACCCGTGCTAGGAAAACAGATGTGAACAGGAGGGAGTACATGGCCACATTGCAAATACTCCAAGTGCTGAAACTGGTAAGGATACCTCAATATTCATTGCCTTAAAATGTGTTGAAGCTTACTCATATTATATGTGCATATCAAAGATTACAAAAATATGTATATAAATGCTTTTTGCAGCTGAGATATCATAAAGAGACCATTCACTGTCAGAAATTGTTCATTCATTTTAGTACTCAATGTATAGCCAAGTCCTTTATAGGGAACTATTGAAAATTAAAAAATATATATATATATGTATAATATAATATCTATCCTGGAGGGGATCTGAAAGAGAAAACATTGATGTAATAATCAACTAGAAAACCATCCAGAATGTTTTATTAGAGGCTCAAAGTTTAATATTTCCCATTCCATGTTTCTATGACTGTGACAAAAAAGATTTTTAACGAGGAATGAGTGCTTCGAAATTTCTTCCCATCTCTCCCAAATAACATCTGATTTACTATCACTGAAAATTTGACTGGATGCTCATTTGCATACATGAACAGTAAGTGCACAGCTGGAGTTCTTCCCATGGGAAGCTGGTCTGCTCTTGCAGCTCTTGCAGATGTTTCTAACAGATCAAGCTTGCCTTTCTCACTAGGCTGCCTGGACCCTTAAAGTAAGCCTTTCCCTACACTCTGCCAATCTTCTTATTTAAGCTACTTTTAAGGAGGCTGCCTCCTTTATAACTAGGTATATGCTACATGGAAAATAAGCCCCTTATTAGATTTCTCCTACAATGTGGTTTAGAAAGAATATAATCTTAATTAGTATGATTTCCCACATGCTCAGAATAATAAAAAAAAAAACAAGAATGAAACAAACTTTAAAGAAATCAAGGATGGGATTTAGTATGAAAAATGTGATATATACTGTTTCTAATGTTTCTAGTCCATTCTTAATCAGAGATGGGTGGCAAATTATAGGAATAATACACATTGTGAAACAATGTTTATAACTTTGTAATGGGTGCCAACTCATGCATTAATGATCAATTGACTCACATAAAGAATTAGCTGAACTCACCATACCAGCCTCTATGTTGGGTGGATTAAGGTATGTATGTGGATTCCTAATGTAACCGTCTTTGTATGGTTCATCTGGAAAGTGGTAAGCATTAGATCTTCTGAAATAAGGTCTGTCATGAGGCAGGTTGAAGAGATCATGTAACTCCTGAATGAAATTGAAATCAATAAAAAAATAGTGACTTAGATTCCTAGTTAATAAACTAAAAAATAAATTACAAAATTAACTACACGTTGGTTATAGAAGTTTTCAAACATATTTGGGATTCAATTCACTATGGGCAAAGAGGTTGAGAGATAAACCAAACTAAAGTAAAATAAAATTCATTTTTGTTTTTGTGAGTGTTAAGAATGGAAACTGGAAAGGACCAGCGGCAGGTTTTTGGTGCAATGGTTAACATGCCACTTGTGACACCAATATCTCACCCTGGAGTTCCTGGATTGGGGTCCCAATAGGAGCTTCCACCAAATGCATGCCTGAGAGGCACCAATGGGTGGTTCAAACAGTATGGCTCCTGCCATCCCTGAGACGCCAGCTAAGGTCCTTGAATTGAATTTTCAGCTTCTAGCTTCTGCCTGGCCCTGGGTGTTATGGACAGTTGGGGAGTTAACCAGCAGATGGGAGATCTCTCCATGTCTGTATCTTTGTCTCTTTGTCTTTCAAGTAAATAAATTAATAAATAAATATTTTAAAACCAAAATACTAGAAGGAACAGTGAAAAATGAAAATTTCTTAGAATGAGAGAACTGGGATAATTTAAAATTATTATTATAGCACAGTCTGTTAAAATACAAGGCAGGCTAAAACTGACTTTACAATTAATGATGATAAATCTATATCATTGTAAAAACTTCAAAAACATAAGGGGTAGTAATTAAATTGTGGAGTGGAAGTTGGTGGGATAAAAACCACATTAATATCGCATGAAAATAAAAATGTATATGTTGAAAATGTGATTATCTTCCCAACTGTATAAAAACATGTAACAGTTACTTTGGAAAGTTTTGACACTTCATAGCCCTATCTTCCTTGAATAGATCTGCTTGTGTGATTGTTGCCTATGCAAGTCAACACAGTTCCCACAGTCTGAGAGGAATAGAGTCCAGAAGCGACACCACTCCTCGGGACACAGATTAGAAGATGCTCCCAGATATAATTTGGGCAGATACCAAGCAAAGCCCCAGATCAAGAAGAGGTGCTCCTAAACCAGTCTTTTTGCCAATCTTGTTTCTTTGAAGACTGGTCAGATTTTCTCCAAAACGCCCTCTCTAAAACCAAAATACCCCTAACTGAGATAGAGTATGAACATAAATCTTACTCAGAATTAGCATAAATTCTGATTTCCCTCTCCTAACTGCAATCTTGTCTCTTTCACATATCTAGAGGTAACACAAGGAAAGAGGAAAGAAAAATTTGTTAATGTTCATTAGTTACTCAAGACATAGAATTATCTTTTCATTTCTATCTTATATAAAAACATAAGAAAGTTGAGAATACATAAATCACACTGAGCATTTGAAATTAAAATTTCACATTGAGCTTTACCATTCATTAGGAATACTTTAAAAAGAAGTTCCATGAGAACAGAAAGTAATAGGAGAAACTAATAGTTTACTTCCATGCTTTTAAGTCACATCACAAGATAATTTCCATTTATTAGAAATACAAAATCAGTGGCAGTCATCTTTTTTTTTTCTCAGCATAAATGAACCAGCTTTACCTTTCTGTAGGCCTGTAGCTGATCATCTGGAATTCCTGATGGATATGATATTGTTACAAGATTTTTCTTCCCTGGTAATAAAAAGTGCAATGGCTCAGGGACCACAATCGAAGTTCCTTTCATATATTTTAAAATGCATTTTTCCATATCAGTGAGTTGCTTATGAATTTCATCAACTAGAAGTTTGCGCACTCTGCAGGGGGAAATATATAAGTGCATTACAAAGTTATAGTGGTTACTACAAATGGAAGTGTGGAGCTAAAATATGCCGATATAGTTTAAAAAAAAACTTGATTGGACTAAGTTTGTGAAGTAAAGTCTAAGCAATAGCTTCTCTGTCGGGCTAACGCTATCCTATCTTTCTTTAATTAAACATCTAACTCCTAGGTAACTGTTGCATCAATGGATATTATTACATGATCTTTAAAAATGGGCTTTGATTTCTATGTGGAAGGGTTCCCATTTACGTGAAGCGGTAGTACTGTAGAAATACTTACTTCCCCCAGGTTTCTTCTGGAGCAACAGATACCACTGCATCGACAGGTAAAGTCATGGTAACGTAGTGGTGTTCTCCGCCTTCCCTCTCAATGATAGGGGTTACAGCTGCCAGAGAGGTTGACATTTCCAGCATAAGATCTATATTTACTATTTGATGCTATATAGATAAACAGTATTAGTCAACTTGTGGTATATTAAGCACTAAATATAAAGGGTAAGTAAAAGGACTTTTAATGGGACACATATAATGCGTCACATATAGTGCATCACAAATAATGCTGTATTACAGGAATTGTTTAAAAGCAGAAATCTTGGTTTAAAAGAAACTCCTTTCTGCTTCAAAATTACTTGAGGCAAGAGGGAAAAGGAATAGGAAATAAAGATGAAATCAGACTGACCCCTTGGCTGATGCATGTTAAAGCTAACTTTAAGTTCATTGGGGTTCACTAAACCATTCTGGCCACATCAATAAAAATCAAATAAAAATATTATAAAGTAATATATCAAAGGAACTTGGAATTTAAAAATATGTAACCATATATGTTGGAATAAATATGTACAGAACTTATAAATAATGCTGAATTCCATTTAGTAGGTTTGATTTTTTTCAAGTAGCATAGAGCTATAATTCCAAAACTACTTCCTGTATACTGAATCAGTTCAACAAAACACTGAGGATACTGAAGCCAGGTTTCTCACCAGGAAAAGTTAGGAACTCCATGGAGTTTGAAGTGGTACTGAAAATATCTATGTTATTTCCATAAACAAATGTGAATATATATAATGCATACAAGTATCTCTGTGTGTAGATGTGTACATATGTGTGTGCTCCATGGAGTAACAACTTATTCCTGACTGGAACAGAGAAGGGACATGTTAGACCTGGAACAGCTCATGGAAGAAAGCAGGAAGTGCTCAAAAATATAATGTCACTAGGAACACTAGAGGCAGCTTGAAAAGCTTCTATTGGACAAATCATGGAAAATGTGAACATCAAGATAACAGTAACAGATAGTAACAGATTAAAACCTACTGTATAAAGTAAGAATCTATGCCTTAATGTTCATATCTGACAGGGAAATGGAAGAGCTTTCCTTGCAGTATACCATCTAATAAACGTATTAGGGAATGATAAATGTAGAAAAATCACCCCTTTGGAACAACCAGATTGATACTGGATCCTGGCAAAAATTAGCAATAGATGCCAAAAGCAGTATTCTGATGAAAAAAAAGATACACAGTTCCAGTTACTGGTATTTTCCAATCATTTCCATGGGACAGAATGGTGGTTTCCTGGGTCTGGGGGGAATACAGAGGACAAAAGGAGAAAAGTTTGATTAACAGGTACTAAGTTGTAGTTAGAGAAGAAAGAAACTCTGGTGTTTAGTTGCACAGTGGGTGACTACAGATAACAATAATTATACAGACACATACCTACACATATTTTAAAAGACATATATATTTAAAAAGAAAGGGATTTTAATGTATTCCTCATCATAAGGAAACGATACATGAGTAGATGTATTTACCTTGAACATTACACAATGTATACAGGTACTGAAACATCTCCTGGTGCCACATAAATTCATAATTGCATGTATTAGTTAAAAAAATTTTTAAAATCTTAGTTGAGCCAATTGAGTGTAAAGAAAAACAAATATATTGCATCTATTGCCTTAAGCAGCATAAGGGGTTATTCTGTCATGTTTTAGGATGCCTTTTCACCTATTTTTGAATAATCTATAAATACACTCAAGCAGTTTTATCACTGAGGGAGAAAGAGATCATCAAAAGAAAACTGTCAAAATATATATTAGAATTGGATTAAAGCTTAGATCCACAAAAGAGATATATGACGTTTAGCAAGTCATTTAATTTTTTTTGGATCTCAATTTACAGGTATAAAAATAAGAGGATTAGAATAAAGTGTCTCTTAACATTTTACTCAGTTCCAAATATAAAGACTTAAATTTTTAAATAGAGAAGAAAGCTGATTTGCTTACCATGTCCAACAACCTTTTGTCTTTCTTTTTCAAGAATTTTCGTTTTGTGTCTTCCTCCTGTTCAAGTCTAAATTTTCACAATAAAGAAGTTTATAATATGAAGTAATGCTTTAACAATGTTTCTAGAAAACTTTACACATACTCACTGAATAAAGCGCATTATGGTCTTACAAGCAGAATTGTCAGTCAGTTCTCCTGGAATGGTGTTGAAGTCACTGTTGGGCCATATATACACTGAACTGTGACAGATTCTGAACACCAGTGCGTCTGAAGAAAGCTTGGCTGACAGGTCACTCAACACATGTTTCAGTGCCTTCTTGATAAAAATTTCTAAATTACAAGAATAGAAATGAAATTAGAAAAAAACCTTTGCAACATGAATGCTTTCAAATATATACAAAATCAAAGATATTAGGATTGACTCTTAAATACCCACTGTCAATATTTATTTATTTATTTATGATTTATTTATTTTTATTGCAAAGTCAGTTATATAGAGAGAGAAGGAGAGACAGAGAGGAAGATTCCGTCTGTTGATTCACTCCTCAAGTGACCGCAATGGCTGGTGCTACGCTGAACCAGAACCAGGAGCTAGGAACTTCCTCCAGGTCTCCCACACGGGTGGGTGCAGGGTCCCAAGGCTTTGGGCCATCTTCAACTGCTTTCCTAGGCCACAGGCAGGGAGCTGGATGGGAAGTGGGGCTACCAGGATTAGAACTGGTGCCCATATGGGATCCTGGTGCATTCAAGGCGAGAATTTTAGCTGCTAGGCCACCGTGCCAGGCCCAACTGGCAATATTTAATAAAATAACTTTTGCCTTTTTTTTTTTTAATTGAGATATGGGACAAGTGTTTGAATGCAGCAGTTAAGACAGAACTTGGCACACTTGTGTGACATACTGATTTGAGTTCCTGAGTCTGAGTTCTGAATCTACTCCAATTCCTGCTTCCATACATACTGAAGGCATGGGAGGAAGCAGTGATGGCTCAGGTGGTTCTGCTCCTGCCACTCACATGGGACATGTGGACTGAGTTCTCTGCTAATGGCTTTGGCCTGATCGAGCTCTGACTGTAGTTGGCATTTGAGGAGTTAAAGAGTACATGAATGATTTCTCCCTTTGATTTTTTCACTTAACTAATAAACAAATTTTAAAATTGACATAAATTCATAGTCCAAAAAATTCCTTTCTTTTAGAGTATATGATTCAGTGGTTTTTAATGTATTCACAAAGTTTTGCCGCCATCACCGTCTAATTCCTGAACTTTTTTTTATTTTGAATTTTATGATACAATTCCATAGAGTCTGGGATTCTTGCTCCCCAAATTCCCACCCCCAGACTGATTTTCCCCATATTATTACAATAGTATAGTCCTTCATGAGCAGTCATAAGTCCATCAGTCTGTTATTTAAGTGTGCCCTGACAATGCTGGTACAGACAATGTCAGACAGTCTACAATCCCATTGTCTAGATATGTCCAACAGTTTCACTGGGAGTCCATTTTTATTTGGAAGTAGGGATATATATTGTATTCTATCTTCACATCTGGATATGGTAGTCTCCATTATGCCATCACTATACAGTCCCTTAAATGAGAAGCCATGAAACAAAGTCAACAACAGGTATGAAGTTAAAACAATAACAACAACAAAATTACAGCATCATGGAGTTGAAAAACACACTACTGAATAACTAATACGTGGGTGATGAAAAAAAAAAAACATACAAAAGCCCCCTCGGGTAAAATGATGCTACAGTGCAATCCATGAGCCAGTGATGAATTCATCAAAAGAAACCATTTGAAAGAAATAAAAATGAAATCAAAACAAAACTATTTCTGAGAAGAGTGTTTTGGGATTTTTGACTGGAATTGTGTTAAATTTGTATATTACTTTCGGTAATATGGACATTTTGATGATATTGAGCCTGCCAATCCAGGAACATGTTAAGTTTCTCCATTTCTCAATGTCTTCTTCAATTTTTAAAAATGTTTTATAGTATTCATCATAAAGATCTTCCACATATTCAGTTAGCTTAATTCCCAGGTATTTAAGATTCCTCTCCCCTATTTTAAAGGGGACTGTACTTATAATTTCTTTCTTTCTTAGCCATGGAATTATGTGTGTATACTAGTGCCACTGATTTGTGTGCATTAATTTTGTATTCTGCAACCCTGCCAAAGTCTCTTATGAGTTCCTGTAGTCTCTTGACTGAGTCTTTTGGTTTTCCTATATAGAGAATCATGTCATCTGCAAATAGAGATTAATTTCAGTTCCTTGTTTGCAATTTGAATTACTTTAATTGCTTTTTTTGCTTAATAGCTCTGGCAAGGACTTTCAATACTATATTACAGACTAGTGGTGAGAGTGGCCCTGCTTCCCATCCAGCTCCCTGCCTGTGGCATGGGAAAGCAGAAGAGGACGGCCCAAAGCCTTGGGACCCTGCATCTGTGTGAGAGACCTGGAAGAGGCTCCGGGCTCATGGCTTTGGATTGGCTCAGCTCCAGCCGTTGCAGCCACTTGGGGAGTAAACTAGTGGATAGAAGATCTTCCTCTCTGTCTCTCCTCCTCTCTGTATATCTGACTTCCCAATAAAAATAAATCTTTAAAAAAAAAGTTCGCAGAATAACCAATGTATAACCCATCTATATCTGCTTCCTCTTTCAATTTTGTTTTCTACAAACTTTTTGAAGCATGTTGGTATTAACAGTCACTCCTCATCTGGCCTATATTTTTCTACTGAAAATGTTATTTCCTTTATCTTCTTATTTGCAGCGTGCCCCATGGGCTGGTGGGAGTGCTGAGACAAAGGCTAAGTTCAAACTTCATTTAACCCACATAGTAGTTATAAGACCTTGGACAGTTTATCTCTCAGTTTCACTGGAAAATGGACAGGTGTCAGGGTATTTTACTCAGCACTGTATCTTGACAACTCATTCAGTTTGGAGCATGAATCAGCACCTCATTTCTTTTGCGGCAGGACGATATTTTATCAAGGGATGATTTGACCTTATGTTATTCATGCTGAAATTCATGCACGTCTCAGGTAATGGCACCTATCTGCTGTCACAGTGTGACACTGCTGTGAACACATGTATACAGGTTCTGTGTCAATCTGTGTTCTAATTCTCTTTAGTGTTCAGCTAGGAATAGAACTATTAGGTTGGATAGTAAGTTAGTGATTCTTTGAGAAACTGCCAGATCATTTTTCAAAGAAGCCATGCCATTTTATAACCTCACCAGTGATTCCAATGCTTTCAAAATGTCACATTACCTAACCGGATGTGACTGCAGCGCCCATCCAGCATGCGTGAGAACCAGGAAGGGAGGGAGCAGAGCTGGCAGGGGAATAAGGGGTTGTTCCCTTGCTGGACAGCTACTCTCACTGGAGAGTGTGAGCTGCGATGGGCAGACCAGACGAAGCAGGGCTAAAACACCTGTGTGCCTCATGTGGACTAGATCAGGAAAATCCAGGCTGGGCTGATTATTCCTACTGGTGTACAAAAACTAGGACAGGGGCTGGGGTGGCTAGACAGAGTGGCACTCAACAACATCCGTGAGGGCTGGATAGTTGAGCTGGACAGATGAAACTAAGCTTCAGTACCCATCAACATGTACGAGAGCCAAATGGGATGTGGGACAGACTGAACTACTGCTATACATACTGGCAAACCAGGGTAGGGGGCGGGCCTGGTGGGGTTATTGTGAGTCGCTGCAACTAGGCTGCAGCTCCCACTGGTTTATGCAAGGGCAGAAACAGACTGGACTGCAATACCTATTGGTTCCAGTGGAAGTAGGAGCTGAAAGTAGAACCAACCTAGCAATTGCAAAAACCAGCTGATCAGGGCCATGGACTGTGCCAGGCCCTGTACTTGCTAATACAAACAAGAATCTGGTCTGGGAACACTTCAAAGTTTCTTTGGGGATCTCCCCAGTTGAAATGGTGGACTCAGAACCCTAACCAAGAAAAGACAGAAGACAGAACAGGTCAATCAACCACCTCAGTTATATGTTGGCAGCGAAATACTGGACAAATGGAGACTCTATGATGGACTATGTCAATCAGTGGATTCTTCAAAGACCTCATCGTGCTTGGAGTGGCGAGACTGGCAGCGATTCATAACTGGTGAACTATCAAAACCACCTGAGCAAGTATCTCAGAGAATGCCCCACATCTGGGACCTGGGACGGGTGGGAGACTGGGTGGGGCTTCTCCCTCAATATCCTCTTTACCTCATATATATGAAGGTAACAATATGGAAATAATAGTCTTACCCATTTTCCTACAGCCCTTGTACCTTTTTATCCTAATTAACTAAGTAAAAATTGTCAAAAATATAATACAAAATGTCACATTACCTAAAACAATAAAACTACTGGATGAAATTTCAATTCTCTGTAGTTCTTGTTCTTTACAGACTATATCCTTTTAAAAAAATATTTATGGGCTATAAAATATTTATAGTGTGGTAGCCTAGTGGCTAAAGTCTTCACCTTGAATGTGCCAGAATACCATATGGGTGCTGATTTGTGTTCTGGCTGCTCTACTTCCATCCAGCTCCCTGCCTGTGGTCTAGGAAAGTAGTAGAAGATGGCCCAAAGCCTTGGGACTCTGCGCCCAGTGGGAAGAAGCTCCTGGCTTCAGATTGGCTCAGCCCTGGCTGTTGTGGCCACTTGGGGAGTGAATTATCTGGCGGAAAATCTTTCTCTCTGTCTCTCCACCTCTCTGTATATCTGACTTTCCAACAAAAATGAATAAATCTTTAAAAAATATTTATTTATTGTTATTTAACAGGCAGATTTCCAGAGAGAAGGAGAATCACAGAAGAGACAAGAGAGGTTTCTTCCATCCACTGGTACTTAATTTAGAAACATTTTCAAGACTGCAAATATAAAACAACATAAAAGCATATACACAACGAAGAAAACAGCGCTGGGGTTTTTGTGCAGTACGTTAAGCCACAGTTTGCCACGCCTGCATTCCATATCAGAGTGCTGATTCAAGGCCCTGCTGCTTGGCTTCCAATCCAGCCTTCCTACTAACGGCCCTGGGAAGGCAAAGGAAGATGACCCGAACACGTGATTAACCACGCAGCTCCTGGCTTCAGCCTTTGCCAAACCGAGATGTTGAGACCTTTGAGGAGTGAACCAGTCAATGACAGATCTTTCTGTTTCTCCCTGGAGAGAATCTCAGTATATTTTATCATCAAATTTGTGATAAAAAGAAGTTTCTACAATACATACCATTAGCAGTAGCTAGCTGAAAAGCTAGATCAAGGCCTCCTCTTACTCTGAAGAGTATATCCATAATTTTCGAGATCACCTAAAATAAAACCAAAATTCCTTGGTAAAACAAGCTAAAGTAAAATACGACTAAATCTAGGGCAATATTACATGAATAACTTCCTTGATAAGAATATATATAAAAACCAGACAAATATATACATACATAAACCAGACAGAAATCTCCATAAATTCTAAAGCAGAAGCCATTAGCATCCTGCCATTTTGAATGCCCTGAGGGGTGTAAGGTCCTGACACTTGGGCTGCGTCTCCAGAGACTCTGATTCAAACTCTAGTGGGGACCTACGCAGCATGCCAGCAGGTCTGACGGGAGAGGTAGGGAACCACTAATTTAGTAATACTAGCAAAATGTAATTTCTAAGTTCCAGTCTTGATGGGTTTAACAATGACATGAAAACATGAGTGATAAGGAACTAGTTTGTGATGGTGACAAGAGCACTGAGTGGAATGACACCTGCTGGCGAAGACCATGAGATGAAACAAAGACAACACCAGTAAGTAGAACTTTAATGACTGTGGCAGTGAAAAGCAAGGCCTTACAGTCACATCCTTGGCCAAGAGATTCTGTGCTTACAAATTTAACCTGGAGCCTGGTGTGGTGGCCCAGCTACAAAAATCTTTGCCTTATATGCACCGGGATCCCATATGCGCACTGGTGCTAATCCCAGCAGCCCCACTTCCCATCCAACTCCTTGCTTGTAGCCTGGGAAAGCAGCAGAGGATGGCCCAAAGCTTTGGAACTTCTGTACCTGTGTGGGAGACCTGGTAGACACTCCAGGCTCCTGGCTTTGGATCGGCAAATCTCTGGCTATTGCAGCCACTTGGGGAGTGAATCAACGGAAGGAAGATCTTCCTGTCTCTTCTTCTTTCTGTATATCTATCTGACTTACCAATAAAAAATAAATACATGAAAAAAAAACAAAACAACAAACCAAACCAAACCAAAACAAAAAAAAATTTAGTCTTAGGAAATCAGCCAAAAAACAAAAACAAAAACAAAAAACAACCCTGCAGGTATAAGCATGTTAACCTAACTTCTAACTAAAGATTAAGTAGTTAAGCATATTATAAAACTATGAAAAAAAAAAGTGTTTCAGATGAAAATTGAATGGCACAGAGCAAAATTTGTAACTGAGGGAAAAAAAGCACCTGCGAAATGGAATGGCTTTTTACTTGGGTCCTTATGCTGAACTTTGGTAGTTGATGATATATGACAAGCAATGTGTTACTGTGAAATCCGGTCACAAAATGGAGTCGCTTCGGTTCAGGCCTGCAAAGTTTCCTAACCTGTTCTTATTTCTTCTGTACAGAATGCTTTGCCAGTTTACTGTTTCTGGGGCCAGATCACAGGGTGCAACATGCCCTGTCAGCAACTGTCTGTTCCAGAATCAATACTTTATGATTAGTCACCCATTGTTCCTAACTACCTTCTGTGGCTGCCCAAGCCCACCCACTGTCCCCATGGCAGCCTCCTGTGACTGTCCAACTCACCTGGTTCCCATGACTGTGTAACTCACACTTGCTATTAAAAAGCCACGTCTCACCTCAGGGTCACTCTCTGAAGGAAAGGAGAGCTGACCTGAGCCGGTTGGTCTGTTTACCTGCCTCTTCACTGAAATTTGAAGAGTGGTCTGGGCTGCACTTCTTGGGGGAATGGCTCGGGTTGGATGCAACATTACCATTTTGGATGTGCATGTGTGTCTGATGGGGGAAGAGAGACTGGGAAGAAAAAGGAAGAAGATGAAGGAGAGATTTTGGGGAGAGAGATTTCACAGATTTCAACAGATCTTCAAAAATATGCTCTGAACATGTTGAGTAACTGCACGGCACAGTAGGAATTGTATGTTGAAATATCATGAGCAAGCAAGTGCTAAATCCTACTGAGTTCTTAAGATGGAAACCACAGCATGCTAAATGAATGGACATGCATTGACTATGACCCTCAGAACACTATGAGACAGAGTACTATAAACTTTCTCATTTTCAAGTCTCTTGTTACATTTTTTTTTTTAAGATTTATTTTATTTTTATTGGAAAGGCGGATATACAGAGAGGAGAGACAGAGAGGAAGATCTTCCGTCCGATGATTCACTCCCCAAGTGAGCGCAAAGGTCGATGCTATGCCGATCCAAAGCCAGGAGCCTCTACTGGGCCTCCCACGCGGGAGCAGGGTCCCAAAGCTTTGGGCTGTCCTCGACTGCTTTCCCGGGCCACAGGCAGGGAGCTGGATGGGAAGCGGGGCTGCTGGGATTAGAACTGGCGCCCATATGGGATCCCGGGCGTGCAAGGCGAGGACCTTAACCACTGCGCCATCACACCGTTCCCTCTTGTTACATTCTTTAATGGTGACAATCTTTACTTATTTCACAAAATGCAAACTGCTGCAGAGTTAAACCCTTTCCCAAGACTACTTTGGGGAATTTATTCTAAGGAGTCAGTCAAGAAAGTTAAGGAAACACTTAGCTTCAATGTTGTCTATCCTGCTCTGTCCATCATACCCCCCAAATAAATAAGAAACTATTTAAAGAGCTATAAGTCACAAGGACACTATACAAAATAATGTATACCTTGCTGAATAAAGCATACTTAGATATTGAAGATGAAGCTTAAAAGTGAAAGCAAATTCACTCTGCAACCTATTGTATGATTTTGCATAACTTAATCCATCACTGAAGTTTGCTTTTCTTTTGTCAAACAGAAAAGAATACAATTTACCCATATGGTGAAGTTGCCCAAGGCCATAAGTGAAAACACTAGAGGGGCCAGTGTTCTAGTGTAGTGAGTTAAGCTGCAGCCTGCAATGGTGACATCCCTTAGGGATACGTTACAGGTGCCTGGTATCCCAGAGGGCTACCAGTTCATATCCTGGCTGCTCCACTGCTGATCCAGCTCCCAGCTAACTGCATGAGAAAGCAGTGGAAGATGGTCCAGGTGCCTGGGGTCTGTGTCACCCATGTGGTAGATTAGGACGGAGCTACTGGCTTCCTCCTGGCTCTGCACTCTATGTAACTTTGAAATAAATAATTCTTACAAGAAAAAAGTGGTAGTCTCCTTAGACCTCTGAATCGAGTTCCTCTCTGAAGAAGTAATAGTTAAGCTGGGAGCTGAACAAGTGTCAACAATTCCTAACGAGAAATGGCTGGGGTGAGGCGGGAGAATCCATTCCAGGCAGGGGGACAGACTGCTGAAGGCTCTAAGGTCCCCTAAAAGACTGCTCGGGATAGTTCGGGAGTGGCAAATACAGTCAACATTCATAAGCAGCAGGCACAGACTTGACTACTGACTGGATGTTCAAGAGAGGGAGACATCAAGGACAACAGTCAGGATTTTTTTTTGGCAGGCCCAGCGGAGCGCGCTCAGCGGTGCGCCCTGCAAAAATGGGGGTTCCTGCAGGTAGGGTGGTTGTGGGGTGAAGGCAGACAGAGCTGAGGTCAGTCTTGTACTTGGTGAGTGTGAAATGCTGCAGCTACCCCAGGGGAGGTAGAATTTGCAGTATTGTAACAAGGTCTACGCTAGAGGCACAGATGAGGGCGAAAGTGCAGAATGCGAGGAGTCGCTGGAGAAGACCAACTAGGAGGACCATGCTACACGACGAAGCAGGAGGGAGAGCAGGACAGTGTAACACCACGGCAGCTTATGAAATAGAATGTCGGCATAAAAGGACTCCTCTTTTCCAGATTCAACGCTTCTTCAAGGCAAGCAAGGAGGCGCAGGGAGCGAGTGATTCAAAGGGTGAGGAGAGGGCTGCCCGCTTCACAGAGCTCGCAGCTGCCATCGCGGCACCGGCAGGACCGGCCCCTGTTAAGAGTTCAAGTTTTAGGAGAAAACGCAGGGGTCGGAAAGAGCAGAAGTACTTACCACGTCCGCGACGTGGCAATGACAGACCCGCAGACTTCCGTCCGTCAACTCAGCAGGACGGCCCGGAAGTAGCGTCAAACCCCAGCGAGGGGCGGGGCGCGGCGGAAAGACTACAACTCCCGAGATGCTTCGCAGCGAGACGTCACGGAGCGTACCACGCTACGGCTTCTGGCCGCTGACCGCAAAGGTGGGAAGTCCAAGGACTTATTTTCTGCCACAGCTACTACTTAAATCCTTTGTAAATTAGAGAAGCTCCTGAATCATCGTGTGTGTTCCTCTGTGATGGATGAACTCTCCTTGCGTCCTTCCCTAGAGTACTTGAATGGTGTCTCCTGTCCCCAGGACGACGCACTACAACAATCCAAGAATTCCACAGGGCGTAGTTCCTGGCGGGAAACGCTCCTGTGGGGCGCCCGGGGCCTTTGTCACGGTTGCAGCCGACTTAACCCGGACTGGAGCTGCGATGCTGTGAACCCGGTTGTGGGGTCAGGTGTCCTTCGGAGAGGTGACTTGGTCCTCGTGTGCGGCAGGAGTTGCCCCTTAGTAACCATCCTCTGCTGTTTCCCTAGTGGGGAAGCTACCTCATCCTGGGGCCTGTCCTTTTCTCACCCTCCAGCACACCCGAGCCTACCTTTCGAAGGGTAATTGCCATGTTCCACGTGCTAAATGATTTTCTTGTCTACCGGAGTGTCAGCTTTCCCTCAGCGGCCCTGGCTTCCTAGCTCTCCTGGAGGGGCGGGTATGCAATATATGATAAAGGAGTGAATGGATGGTTGGTGATGTTGATCCTGAAGCGTTAGGTAAGGGAAAGTTCATGGCAGAAATCTCATTCCCTTACCTCCTTTTGTGCTACGCCCCTGCCCCTTCTTCCTTGGATGCCTGTACAGACCCCGGGAACCCTGAGGTAAAGAATCCCACGTCCTCACCACAGTTCCTGCCGTTGTGGATCCAATAGCTTAGTGGTGAGGAAAAACAGGTGCATGATGAGGGCTTACCAGAGGCCCTTGCCGCTGTGGTAGACCGGACTGAGGTCAAATGAGCAAAGCGATGGGTGTCCAGTGCCTGCCCAAAGCAAGACAGCATGTGCAATGGTCCTGTGGCTGGGGGAGGCCCACCCCAAGGCAGCACCAGATGGCTTAAGCACAATGTGTCCGTGAAACACATGCAGGAGACTTGAATTGAGCTGTGGTATTTATGGGCAGTTGGGCAGTGAACTGGCAGGTGAAAAAGATCTCTCTGTTTACCTTTAAAATAGTAGCAGTATTAATAATAACAACTCCCAAAGTAAAGATGATGTGGCCTGAAATTGAGAATCATCTTTTCCCCTTTTCTGTAAGGCAGCAGCCCTCAGGATACCTTTAGAGTTGCCAGTATAGAAAACGCCATAGGAAGCAGCCATGCCTCTCGAAGGAGGGAAAACAGACATGGAGAGGATTGGCCTCTTCAGTGAAATGGAATACATTACTGTTGGGGATAAATACGTGTCCCAATTTAATAGTAAGTATTTAACTGAAGAATAGATATTTTCTACATCAAGTTTTTTGTTTTGAAGCTGATCATTACTTTTGAAATGTTTCAAAGCTTTGGGATCCAAGTTGATTAATTTGTGGAATGTTAAGAGAAGTTAATTTTCTTAGAAGCAAACTGATTTTATAAAGCTGCTCTCCTCTCGCTTATTGTCTTCATAGAGAATTTTACTTCTTTCCAAAGAAATTATGGCAGCTTTTTGCCCTATGCAAACAGCACATATGTCTGGATCCAAGAAGGTCATGTGTTGTCATTTTCCTGAAAGATGAAATGCTACATTAATAACTTTTGGGAATGTCCTAAGTAATAAAAGAGCTAAAGTAGATTGAATATGTGAATATCCAGTGACTTCTATGCAGCAAGGCAAAAGAATCTACTGATAGGGAAACAGCTCCAAGATACATATTGAATAAAAGATATGTTAAATATTAAATATGGAAAGGAATGCATATGAACATACTCAATTGAACATGCCTCAGTGTTCCCTGAAAAACAATATTAGTATTGATGCCCTTGAAAGAGGAACTTGGGTAGTCAAATGTGGGAGAAAGATGTACTGTGCAAATGTGTAACCTGTTGATTTGGGGGGTTTTCAATGTACACAACTAATTTAACTTATTTTTGAAATTGAAGTTAAAAAAATCAGCAATAGACACCGAGTGCCAGGCCTGCGGTAGGAGCACTAGGAGGCTGCCAATTGCATTTCCAGGAGTCTGTGAGCGCCCCAAGCCACTGCTTTGAGCAAAACTCACCCTCCTGAGTTGAAAAAATTTATGGACAAGAAGTTGTCATTAAAATTAAATGGCAGACATGCCCACGGAATACTGAGAGGATTTGGGCCCTTCATGAGTCTGGTGATAGATGAATGTGTGGAGATGGCAAATAGTGGACAGCAGAGCAATACTGGAATGGTGGTAATACGAGGAAAGAGTATCATCATGTTAGAAGCCTTACAATGAGTGTTCGGCAAATAAATCCATATCCCTTCTCCAAAAGGACCTGTTTTGCTGTGATGTGATATAAGAGTTGGGACATGTACATTTTCATTTTTTTAAATAAACTTTTGTGATAGTAAAAAAAAATCAGTAATACAAATTAACATTGCAACAAAGTAGTTAAATGAAGTGTTGTGTGTTCTTCAAAAAAGTATTATGTTACTAAAGAACTTCCCGAGTTCTCCTAGATCTAAATTATAAAGGAAGTTTACATATTTATGAAAACAGCCTTTACATAATTACTTAAATGAATGCATAAGTTTCTTTTTAATTTTTGAAAGTTTTCTTCTTGATGTTATTTGGGTTGTTTATTTCTTTGTTTATTATTTATAAATGAAACTGTTGGGGGCATTTGATTTCATGTCTAAGTGGACATAGGCATTCATATGTTGTGAGGATATTCCTAGCAGGGGAATTTATTCCGTTTCAATATCCCTTCTGTTCAGCCTATACACATCCTCTACTGACATCTTACACTGGGCTTTTCAGCATGTTAATGGGGTACAATGAATTCGGGAAACCTTTAAGGTCTTCCAGCTCTTAGATCCGTAGTATTCAACCAGTGCCTTACCCTATGTGTTAAGATATTTTACTGAAAGCCTGTTAGGATTTACCTACAATATCCTTCAACCCAAAACTTCCAGTGAACATTTTAAAACTGTGTATTGGAGCTCCCAATTCATAATTAGCCAAAATCACATTTGGAAACTTTTATAAATGACTTTTTCATGTCCTTCAATTACTAGTGAGCTCAAAATGTGAATGTTCCTAATTTGTTTTTAAAGGACCCTTCAATGAGGCTGCAAGCAAAAACAGACAGATATTACCTGGGGGATCCAAAGGAATGTCCAGTCTCCAGGCAGGTTATTTTGATTCCCAGTTTGGAAGGATTTTTGAAGGTGAAGGCTATGTAAACCTGAATCAAGTGAGGAGACAGCATTTGATGGAAGAAGCCAAAAAAAATATAAGCAAAGCCTTCCTTCCAAGTAGTGGGGATAAAAAGCCGTAAGTGTTTGAGAAAATGGGACTTCTGCATGTTTCTCTCTCTTAGGTGAAATGTTCATTGTTCTATAGGATTCTGTTATGTGAGATTTGTGTTTAATGATAAGCTTAGGACAGTTCGTAAGTGGAGTCAGACTGGATGATTTATTTATTTATTTTAAAAGATTTATTTATTTTTATTGGAAAGGCAGATATACAGAGAGGAGGAGAGACAGAACGATCTTCCGTCCAATGGTTCATGCCCCAAGTGACCGCTACGGCTGGAGCTGAGCCAATCCGAAGCCAGGAGCTAGGAGCTCTTCCAGGTCTCCCACACAGGTGTAGGATCCCAAGGCTTTGGGCCGTCCTTGACTGTTTTTCCAGGCTACAAGCAGGAAGCTGGGTTGGGAAGTGGGACTGCTGGGATTAGAAACGGCACCCATATGGGATCCTGGCGTGTGCAAGGCGAGGACTTTAACCACTATGCTATTGCGCTGGGTCCAGACTGGATGGTTTAGAATGACAGGCAATTCTGATTAAGTATATTCTCATTCTGTTAGGTTTCAGATTATATATGTTACTGTTCTTTATTAGCTTGCTAATAAAAAAGACAGTAGAAACAAATATGTTAAAAAAAACTTGAAGGGTTGAGGAAAACATTACCTTCAGGTAAAACGTCTGTTTTTTTTGTTCTGCTACTTAAGAACATCTTTAACATATAAGTAAACAGTATGAAATTAGGATAAACCCTCTTTTGATGAAGAAAATAATTGGATCTATTATTTAAAAAATATTGTGAAGATACCTGTATGGGGTTTAACAATATTTTCATTGTGATGGCTATCAATGTAAAGATTCAATTTTTTTCTTACCTTTAAATCATGACCTTAACAAATTGGACTGAGTATTTTCTGATAGCTGAGATTGGGGATGTGATGGTCCTTCTCACCCAGTAACGAGGGTTGACTCAAGTCTAGCTTTTTGCTGATCTGTTGTGGTTTTTGCAACTACAAAACCACGTTTCCTTTTAGTTCTAGCACGCCACCTGCCTCAGCCAAAACAGCTCAGTTAAGGGTGGGGAGTTTCTTCTGTTCCATTGCTATTTTAATTTTTTTTTTCCTGTCTTTTAACACTTGGGGTGGATTTGAAGGATTTATTTTGACTAGTTTCTGGGCTTAATTTCTTTTAAAATGTAAGCTCAATAAGTTCAAGACTGCAATTTCTTTTTTTAATGTATTTTATCCTTTAAATAACTTTTCTTCTTGTTAATCTTTCCTCACCTAGGAGGAACTTTGACCCATGTGATAATAACTGGAAATTGTTGCCTTGTTATAGTAGTTTATAATAAGCTGTATTTATTTTTTGGCCAAATAATTTAACAGTGTTGTAAAGAGACTAGGTTCATTTTCTTTTTGAAGTTCAGGTATATGAAAAAGAAAAACAAAAACAAAAGTTTGTAACTTTGTGGGACACAAAAGGTATTCTCAAAAAGACAGATAATGTAAAGACAAAGCTCTTATGTAGGCATGCATCAACACCAGATTATGGAATCAGAGGCATTTAGTTAAGTTCTAAATGTAGTGATTTTTAGTGCTTGTATTAAATAACATTCTGGTTAAATTACTTTGCACTTAATTGTCCTTTTCTTTGAGGTATCACTGCTTTCTTCCCTTGCTGTATTTTAGAATTTTATGATATGTACTTTGAAAGTTCTTGGGAACATGGCATTAAAAAATTAATTTTGATATAGAAATTTGAAATTCATGCAAAGAAGAATCCTCAACAAGCTCATTAAGATATATATTATGAAAATGGATGGATCCCAAAAATATTTTTAGCCTAAAATCATCTTTTAATTCTATTTGCATGAACTTTCTGAAGTACCTTCATATGTTTATACTTAGGGATTAATGAATATTCTCTCTTTCTTTCAAAGATGAGGGAAAGAGAGTGAGAGGAAGAGAGAGAGATTCTTATATCTATTGTTTCACTCCCCAACTAGCTGCAGTAGCCAACGCTGGGCCAGGCTGAAGCCAGGAGCCAGGAATTTCATTCAGGTCTTCCATGTGAATGCCAAGGGCCCACTCCTTCCCCAGGCGTATTAGCAGGGAGTTGGGTCAGGAGTAGAGCATTCAGGACTCAAGCCGTGCCTGTATGGGATGCTGTCATCACAGCTGACAGCTAAACCCACTAAACCATGATGTTGGCCTCTGTATAGCCCCTTTTACTGGAAAATTTTGTAGGCTACAGTTAATAAGCTACAAATATTGATGTCTCTAGTTTCTGACATTTTAATTCAAATATAAGAATTGCTGGGGCCCGGCGGCGTGGCCTAGCAGCTAAAGTCCTTGCCTTGAACGTGCCCGGGATCCCATATGGGCGCCAGTTCTAATCTCAGCAGCTCCACTTCCCATCCAGGTCCCTGCTTGTGGCCTGGGAAAGCAGTTGAGGACAGCCCAAGGCTTTGAGACCCTGCTCCCGCATGGGAGACCCGGAAGAAGTTCCTGGTTCCTGGCTTCGGATTGGCGCAGCACAGGCTATAGCAGTCACTTGGGGAGTGAATCATCGGACGGAAGATCTTCCTCTCTGTCTCTCCTCTCTGTATATCCGCCTTTCCAATAAAAAAAAAAAAATATATATATATATATATATATATGTATGTATGTATATATGTTTAAAAATCTCATAGTTTGTCACTTTAGGGACATAAAATTAGATTTAAAAACAAACAAAATATGTCTTTTATTCTTACCAAGTGGAACAATTCCAATGCATGTATTTTTCTCCTTTTTCAATTTTTTTTGGAAAAATGTAAAAAATATGTATGACATGAAATGTAATCATTTAATGAAAATGAAAAATTGTCTTTAAGATGTGGATTAGGAAGCTACTATGGAACCATAGGTGGTCCAATTCCATTCTTCAGTGCACAATCAAAACCCAGAGAAAAATATGAGGCACCTGGAAAGAATTTATACACAAACCCAGGAAAAAAAGGAACTGGATATGGGTAAGGTATTTTTAATACTTTCATATCATTCATTAAAAATTGTTTAAACATATATTTGCTTATTATGAAAATCATAACGACTGAGAAAGAGAGTTCTTCCATCCACTGGTTTGTTCCTCAGATGGTTGCAGTGCTCATACTGGGGCAAGCTAAAGCCAGGAGCCAGGAGCCTCACCTGGGTCTCCCACGTGGGTGGTAGGGGTCCAAACATTTGGGTCATTTTCTGCTGCTTTTCCCAGGACATTGGCAGGAAGTTGGGATATGAATTAGCACCCACAAACGGTGCTTGTGTCACAAGTGGTGGCTCTACCTGCTGTATCACAATGCCAGTCCCAATTGTTTTAAATTTTAAAATATAAAAAATGAAAATTTCTGAACCTCAAAGTAACCATAACTTATTTTCTTTCCTTAGCTATGCAAATATTACCATAGGTAAACAGTTTTCACATTCAGCTGATTTCTATGATGCACCCAAATTAAATTATAAGGTAAAGAACCTGTCTTGGAAGTTTTCAAACTTTGTTTTGTTCAGTAGACTTTAAAAATTCACTTGTGGTAAAATTATGTTTGGGGTATGTTTATATCAGTGAGCAATTGCCATATTGGTGTTTATATAAATTCATCATTTTACCTTTTATGATGCTAGATTCCCGCATCATGCTGTGGATTTTCTTAGTTCTAATAAGAATTGTACATATTTATTGTATACATGCAATCACTAGACACTTACAAATCATATTTAATGTGATCGCTATATACTTACATGATCAAATTAGGATAATTAGCATTTCTCCTTAAATATTTATCACTTCTTTGTGTTGGAAAGCTGCCCAAATCTCTCCTGCAGTTCTTTACACAATGTGTTGTAGTGAAAGCTTTCCCTAAGTTAGTACCTCACCCATTTAAAATTGGCCACTGCCGTATTTTATAACATCATTCACAACCATTTACAATCACCATAGCAACATGACAAATTATCAATTCGTTCCCATAAAAATTACATTTTGAGAGACATACCCCCAAAGCAGAACTAGATTACAGATAAATTATGCATACCTTGTGATGGAGAATAGGCAAGAACAGATTGCCAAAAAGTGAAGGCCCTGCAGGTGGGACACATACAAAAAAGAGAAAATTCAAAAAGAGCAAAAGCTTCTCAAATTGTTGCAGCAGAGTTCCTAGCAGTAGAAGTTAGTCTTCCCTGGCATAACTATCTGTTTTAGAGTTCACTTATCAAAATGTTCAGGTTGTTGAGTTATAAAATGCTGGGTTTCATATTTGCAGGAAGTAGAAGAAGTATCAAAATTCACAGTCTCTGATTTTGTTTTACAGTATGAGTTCTTTTGCTACTTTGCTAACAGCTAGCAGTTAAAAAAAATTACTTGAGAAACAGAGCGAGAAAGAGACAGAGGCTTCCCATCCTCTGATTTGCTTCCCCGATGCCTGCAGTGACCAGGCAGGCAGATTAGACGTGAGCGACAGCTAACCAGGGGCTTATACTATCAGCACTGCCTCCCAGGGCTGGCATTTGCCAGACACTGCAGTCAGGAGCCGGTTCTGTGGATGGAAGCGAGGTGCAATGAAGACATGCAGGAATCTGAGCCAGCATCTTTCCTGCTGGACTGAACACCCACCCCAGCTACTGATGTTTATATGTATACTGTCCCAGAGAAAAGATTGCAACACGAGAAGGGGGAAAATGGTTTCTTGTGCTTCACAACCAGGTAGATTAAAAATAATATAATAGAAAAAATTTTACAATGTAAAAAAAATTTTTTTAGAAGAAACTGACCTTGATTGAAGGCCTGCCATGTGTCAGGTGCTTTATTTAATCTCATTTAATCATGACAACAGTATTAAAAGGGAAGGGAGATGACAGTGTCCTCAGTGACAGTGGAAGATACGACTCGGAAGAGGTCCCTAACATTCTCAGGATCCCCAAGAAGTGCTGTAGGGCAATAAGGAGTGAGGGCCTGAACCTAGGACCAGTCCTTTTATAACGACATCACTTTACTCAAAAAGTTCATATGGATTTCTTTGGGTATTAAATAGATTGCTATACCTTAAATATATTTGTATCTAAAATAAATAATAATAGTTATGCTTATTCATAACTTGGCACCCTTTTAGTGTCATAAAAGTGAATTTCACAAAGAAATGAGTTTAATGTAAAAACTGCATCCATTAGTATCTAGAATCTGTGTGTCTATATTGTTGAAACGATTTGACTTCGTTATTTCCCATTTGCACAATTATGCTATGCAATTTCAAACTCATTTTACAGAAAGAGAATGAAGAACACCATCGTCTACTCAAAGGAACTCCTTTCAAATTAAATCTGTATCCAAGGGATTATTTTGACACCAATCCTTACGCTTTTGAGAAAGCTCTGCCACCAATTAAAAAAACGGAAAAGAAACAATTGATTTCAAACCCTTTTAAACCTTCTTCTCCTGGTAAAAAGGTAAGGTTAAAATTGTGAACATTTTCATAAAGCCCTGCCTTTTAGTATGATAGTACTAAATTATTTTTTAAATTTATGTGTATATTAAACACTTATACGGATGCCAAGAATCATGAAATGCTGGTTACAAAAGCAAGATTAGTGACTGGATAATGAAGTTCAAGTAACTTGGTAATTTTTAATACTTTAAATGTATTTCAGTTGACAATGAATTTTTGATATCTCTCTTTATATATTAGGTCTAGTTTCTCTCAAAATTATTTCAGTTCCTGAGCTTTTCCCTTACTACAGAAACATACAAATGACAGTAAAATTTAAGATGATCTGACAGTTGCGAGCCTTATTTTTTTTCCCTTCCTGTGAAATTGCCTCTGTTTTCCCTGTGGATACTCCATTAGAGTGTGTGTGTGTTGTACTGATTTACAAGATCTTTTCATTTATAAGGATACTGTTTTTTTTTTTTTAATTTTTGCTGGAAACAATTTTTCTGTACTGTTGGATCTTGACTTTGATGTTTTATGTTTGGAAGTTTATTCCTTTGATGTGGGATGGTGGTACAGCAGGTGCAGCTGCTGCTTGGGGTGTCTGTATCCCATAGGCAGTGCTGGTTATGTCCTGGCTACTGTGGGCTTCCAGTCCAGCTTCCTGAGACTGTTTCTTGGAGGTAGGGCATGATAGCCAAAGTACCTGAGTTCCTGCTACTTGCATGGGAGACCCAGCTATGGAGTTCCTTGCTCTTGGCTTTGGGCCTAGCCCTGAATGTAAAGGGAAGAGAATTCTTTGTCACTTTGCCTTTAAGGTCAATAAATAAAACTTTACAAAAAATGTAATAATTTGACATCATTAGGGTTAACAATTTTTCATAGTAAGGTTTATACCATTTTCAGAATGGCTTTCTTTGCCACCAAAGTTATATTAGTATGCGTTCTTGATTTCTACTATTTATCTTATCCTTTTGACTTTAAATCTTTATCTGTTTATATTGTGATACAAAGAGTAAGGTCAAGATTCAGCTTTTATCTTTTCAGAATTCACTTTGGAGCACAAAAATGTTCTGTATTTGATTATGGTAATGGCTTTAAGTAGGGTATTGGTGTGATAAAATTTATTGTTTAGGAAACTATTTGTAGGTGCTTGTTTGGCATAGGGGTTGAGAGTTCCTGGTTTGGATTCCAATTCCTCCATTTCCTATCTAACCTCCTGCTTATGTTCATCCTGGGAAGCCGCAGATGATGGCTCAAATCCTCGGGTCCCTGGCCAGTGTGTGGGACATGGAGAGTGAGGGCCAGGTTCCTGGCCATGGCCTGTCCCAGCCCTGATTGTTACAGGCATTTGGGGGAATGAACAGCAGATGGAAGAGCTCTGCTTATCTGCCTCTCTTTACCTTTCAAATAAAATGAAAATAGTTTTTAAAACGCAGTTGTCCCTCACCTCACTGATGGAATAATTCATTTTTAATATCACTGCTATGATGTACCATATTCATCAATTTAAGATTTTAATTTTTGAGTGAATATCCCTGAATTTTCATTCTATTTGTCTATTAATTTTTGCCAAACTACCTTTAATCACTATCACATTTATTATTGGATGGTCTAGTCTTTTATCAGAAAATAATAGCAATTGTTCACTCATAATTTTTTCCCAGAGATTTGGAATAATTTTCAAAAGTTTTCTTAAAAAGGCCTTTACATTTTTTCTTCAAATTTTTAAAACTTTTTTTATGCATTTCCATGAATTCTTGGATTTCACCCCTCCCCCAATTCTCTCTTTCTACTTTTTTCCTCTATATTATTATGTTAGCATAGTCCTTCACAAACAGTTTTAAGTCCATCATTGGGTATGCACAGTGGGAGGGACCACCTTTGATTAGAAGTAGAGATGCATACTGCATTGTATCTTCACATCTGGATATGATAGTCTCTATTACACTGTTACTGTACATCCCCTTAGATGACAAGCCATAAAACAAAATGAATAACTGAAAAAAAATAGAAAGTTTACAACAGCACGAAGTTAAATAACATGCTACTGAATGACCAATGTATTGCTAAAAAATGAAAAAAATAAAAAACCTTTTTGAAGAAAATGATACTACTATATCAGTGACCTGTGTGTCACTGAAGAAATGTGGAAAAAAAAACTTTTTGAAGAAATGAGAATAAAAACGAACAAAAAATTCAAACCCATAAGATGTAACAAAAACAGTAATAAAAGGGACATTCATAAAATCAAGTGCTTACAAAAAATAGAAATATCTCAAACAAGTAATCTAATAATGTATCTCAAGAATTTACTAAAAAAGAAAAATGAACAAGAGACAACTAGGTTCTTATGCTTTCTTTTTTATTTTTAATTTTGCTTGTTTTTTCTCTCTTGCTTTTCTTTGCTAGTCTGACTAAAAATTTGTTTTGATCATATTTTTAAAAAATGTCTCTTGTTGCAATTTGTAGTGTTTTTTTTTAGTTTTAATTCTTTTTTTTTTTGGCTGTGATTTTTAAAAAGACCTTTTATATTTTCATATTTTACTTTAAAATTAAATCTCCAGATTGTTTGGATATACTAACATTAACAATGTGAATGTTCTGATATGGATAATGGACTTAAAAATATTTTTGTCCCTTACTTAGTTTTATTTAATATCACATAGGGTTTACATATGCTTATTCTTATTAACGCTCCTGGTTAGTAGTATTTTCTTTCCTCATCATATTTTCCTTTATTTTGTACCTTTACAAAAACATTTGATTTTTTAAAAAGTGGCTACTGCATTAAAATTTATTATTCTATTATTATCTTTCAGTTTTAGGAATGTATTTATCAATAACTTTACACCTTTTTCCCAATATTTGCACATTTTATATCATGTTTATGTTCAATTTTTTGGTGGCCATCCTTCCCTTAATCTTGCCTTTAAGAAGGTTATCGCTATTCTTTCATTTCAATATTTTTTACTGAATATACATAGACTTTATAAAATTATATACTCTATTTAAATTGTCATCTTTTTAATATTTTGTTACAAAATGAATAACAATAATGTCATTTTTGTAGTGAATCTCATTTGACCATGTTGTATGAAAAAGTTCCAAAAACATTTGCTGGCAAATGGAATTCCAGAATAAAAATTAAAATATCAACTATTTTCAATGTAAACTCCATCAAGTTGAAAATACTTTTGTAAACAATCTCAGCCATTTAGTGCATCATTAGAGAACTGAGAGTTCTGTGGATTTAGCCATGTCGATGTAATCTTTTCACATTAACTCAGTGTAAATGGATGTCCCTTAAGCAATTATGTTAAGAATAGGAAAGAAGATGAAGTCAGAAGGAGCCAACTTAGGACCTAGTGGCTTTTTGCATGTGTGTGAGAAATCGCATGTTACTTTTGTTTGTTGAGAAGCATGAGCAATGTCATGATGTGGGATTCTCCAGTAAAGGTTTCTTTGGTGAATGGCTAGATAACTTTATACTTGAAAAAAACAGTAAAAAAAAAAAAAAGAAAAGAAACAGTTTTATTTGAAAGGCAGATTATCAGAGAGGACAGACAAATTTTTCCATCAACTGGTTCACTCCCCAAGCAGGTGCAATGACTAAATCTGACTCAGGAGCCCGGAGCAAGGAGTCAGGAGCTCCTTCTGGGTCTTCCAAATAGGTGGCTGGGGCCCAAAGAGTTGAGTGATCCTCTGTTGCTTTCCCAGGCCATAAGGGGGAGCTGGATCTGAAGTTGAGCAGTTGGGACTAAAACTGGCATTCATGTGTGACGCTTGTGCCATAGGTGGAGCACTAGCTCGCTGTGTCACCACGCTGGCCCTGGCTAACCTTCTTGAAACACTCTCCTAAGAAGCAGAGGTCATACTTTGGCTTTGCAGAAAGTCATCATGAAACATATCTTGACCACCCCCAAAACCTGTTGTGATATTTGCTGTTGATTTGTCTGCTTTCTTTGGACTGCTTCCACATTTGGTAGCCAGAGCTTTGACTGTGCTTTTCCTGAGGGCTGTATTGGCAAAGCTGTGTTTCATCTCCTGTTACACTTCTTTGAAAAAAATGCTTCAGGACCTTGGGCCCACATCCTACAAAGTTCTTTTGAAAAATTTGCTCTTGTCTTTTGCTGACCTGAGTGCAACGGTTCCAGCATTCATTGGGCAGAGAATTTGCTCCACTTCAGTATAAACTGAATCAGCTGAGATGTCTGTGATCTTGGCTGCTGCTTATGCTATTAATCATTGGTCTTTTTCAAACAGCAATGGACAATATTAATTTATTCCTTGTAAACTGTTGTTGCCACTATGGGTGTCATCAAATACTCTATTTCTTTTCTTTTTTCTTTTAAGATTTATTTTTTTATCAGAAGGGCAGATTTATAGAGAGAAGGAGAGACAAAGATCTTTCATCTGCTGATTCACTCCCCCAGTGGCTACAGCAGCCTGAGCCAAGCCTGTCTGAATTTAGGAGGTTCTTCTGGATTTCCCCTTAGGGTGCAGGATCCCAACGCTTTGGGCCATGCTCTACTGCTTTCCCAGGCCACAAGCAGAGAGCTGGATGGGAAGTGGAGTATCCGGGACACAAACCAGTGCCCAAATGGGATCGCGGCACTTTCAAGGTGGACATTTGGCCACTATTTTTTTTTTTCTTTTTTGAAGTTGCTTATTTGAAAGGCAGTGATAGGTGAGGGGGAGACAGAGATCTTTTATTTACTTTTTCACCCCCAAAATGCCCACAACAACTGGACCAAGCTGAATTTTTAGTTTCTTAGCAGGAACTTAAGTAGTGGACCCACCATTCATTGCTTTTTTAGGTATGCTAGCAGGTCGCTGAATCAGAAGTAGAGTATCTGGGACTTGAACTGGCACCCTAATGTGGGATGCAGGCATCTCAAGTGGTGGTTTAACCCTGATGTATGCTCTTCATTCCTTTTTACTTTTTGAGTTTTATTTATTTGAAAGGCAGAGTTTTATGCATACACACAAACCTACATACACACCTAATATATATGCATATGTATATATATATACACGCATACACAAATATACACATTTGTAGGTGTGTGTGTGTGTGTGTGTGTGTGTGTGTGTGAGAGAGAGAGAGAGAGAGAGAGAGACAGAGTTCTTCCATCTACTTGTTCACTCTGCAGATGCCTGCAACAGCTAGGCACCACACCACAGCCAAGAGCTAGGAACTCATAAAAGTCTCTCACGCGCATGCTAAGAACCTAGGTACTTGTTCCAACAGTTTGTTGCCTGCAAAGCATATTAACAGGAAGTCTGGAAATGAAGGTAGGACTTGATCCCAGATCCTCCAATATGGATTGCAGGTGTCCCAGACAGCACTTACTTCTCTGTGCTACAACACTCATTCCATCTAGGGGCCTTTTGGAGATTTTTGTTATGTATCTTTTTTGTTTTAATTCTTTAATTTTGTTTTTATATTTAGAAATTAATTTATCTGAAATTCCTTGTTATTGTTGTCAGAATAATCTATAACGTCCTCAATCTGGAAAACTTGAAAAATTATAGCTACACAGAGGGTCCTCAAAGTGTTCATAGAAATTTACATTGTCTTCTTATTCCTTTTTCTGTGACCTTTACTGAAGCCTCATATGTCTTAGTTCAATTAAATACTCTTGTGCATCTGATTTTGATATTACTGTGAAAAGAGGCCCCAGTAAATGGATTATTATTCCATATAATTTTCTTGGTGACTATAAATATAAACATCCCATCAGACTGGTTTAAAATGCCCAAACAACTATTTGTGCTTTGGTAGAAAAATACTTTGAATTCTCTTTATAGATTGTAGGAAAATGATTAAGTACATTGAATGTAAACAAAAAAGTACATTGAATTTTTGTATCACCTTCTCTTTATGTATTATTACTTAAACATCTTTTCAAATCTTCTCCACCACTGACTGCCGTGTTGTAAACTTATGTTATGCTAGGCTTCCTGTTCCTCATTCCTTCTGAAAATATATTTGATTTAGGTAGGTCTCATCCTCTCAGTAACAGGTTTATCCTCTAACTAGGTTTTGACTTAATTTAAAAAGTCTTACTAAAATATTAATGCTTGGTAATGGTCTAGAGCATGATTTGGTTAAAAAAAAGAATGTCACTTGATTAAACATTTTCATTTTTATGGAGAATTTTTGTGTTGTAAACCAGCAGAATTGATGGTAGAGACCTTTTGCTTGTATTTGAATTAAGTAGTATATTATAGCTTTTTATAAGTGTAAAAAACCAACTTAACAGACTGCAAAAATATGTGTGAACTCTACAACTTAATTTTGTAGAAAAATTGTTACAGAAATATGTTAATTTTTCCACTCTTTGTCTTATAGGCTGGTGGAATGAAGGCGGGAACATTTGACCCTTATCCATCACATTCGGCTGACCCTTATGTGGTGAAATTGGTAAAAGGAATTTCTGGCAAGGGTGAGAAGATTTTCCATCCACCAAGTGGACCAAAAAGCAGGCCAATTGAAAGTATAATGACTTTGAATGTCAAAAGGTAAGAATGATTGATGGTTAAGCCATAAGCCTGGAAGAAATATATAATAAGTTTAAGAATGTTAATGTGATTTGCTACTTTTTACCTAACTAAAACAGTGATTTTGAATTAATGAAATATTTTGGGAATAACTTTATAGTAAGTATATACTATCCTAAAATTTTGATAATTTGGAGCAATCTAACTTAAATCTCATTCTAAATGACTGACATTACTCATTACTCATGATAGTACTGAGAAAATTTAATGATCTCTTGACTTTGTTTTGTTATTTGATGTCCATCAGAGCTTTAATATGCAGAAACTCTTATGGCCAAATTTTTAAATATAATGCCTTTTTTTTTTCATCAGGGCAAAAAGGGGCTTTCTACATAGTATTTGAAACTGATTCCTTAAAACCATAATAGTTTCTCAGTATTTCTGACTTAAATTATTTCATTTTTTTAGATTGGGGAGAAAATTTTGTTTCTTTGAACATGTAAAATTATTTAACATGTGTTAGTGCAAAATTTTTATGAAAATGTACAGTTGGGTAACTTGAACCTATAAACTTAAATATGCATCTATTTTCCAATTTTAGGGCACTAAATTCAAAGAACTACAAGACTGCCTCAGTACAATCCTATTAGCAGCTGGGAGGAAAGTAGTTCTGCTGCCCTGGTCAAGACTATTGATAAAAATGTAAGCTGTGTGATAAAGAGCACAAGTATTTAAAAAGAACCTAAAAGTCTTATTTTATTACTACTATTTAGGTAGTAAATGATATTTGCTAATTATTTGATGTGTGATTGCTACTGTTGTCTTACAGACTTAGGTTCATGCATAGGCACATTATGTAGTGAAATGAAGGTGTCAGTTTACTAATGCCTTCCATTTATGACTTAGATACCCTGAATACCTAAGAAATATATAACATTTTAAAATTTTGTAAAATCTCGAGGTACACTCTAATACTTAAAAACACTAATTCCTAATGTTAACAAAATATACGGGCTTGATGGGAAAGGGTAGGGACAGGCAACAAAGGGGTCGAAAGTACACAATAATTTCTTTTAAAGAATTTATTTTTATTGGAAAGGCAGATTTAAGAGAGAAGGAAAACCAGAGAGAGAGAGAGAGAAAGAGAGAGAGATCTTCCCCTGCTGCTCCACTCTCCAACTGCCACAGTAGCCCAGAGTGGAAACCAGGACCCAGGAGTTTCTTCTCAGTCTCCCATTGCACCAGCCCCTATAATACTTTCTTAATTTACTCTTTTTTTTCCTTCTTTTTAAAAATTTATTTTTATGGAAAGTCACAGTTACATAGAACGAAGGAGAGACAGTAAGAATTCTTCCACCTGCTCGTTCACTCCCAAAATACCCACAATGGCTGGATTTGGCCCAATCTGAAACTCGGCAGTAGAAGCTTCTTCTGGGTTTCCTGAGTGGATGCAGGGCCCAAGGACTCAGATCCTCCACTGCTTTCCCAGGCAATAAGCAGGGAGCTGGATTGGAAGTGGAAAACCTGGGACACGAACCAGTGTCCATATGGGATGCTGGCATTACAGGCTGAGGATTAGCTTGATGTACCACAGCATCAGGTCCCCTACTCATGTTTCTTAAGAGATATTTGAAGATTCGATTGATGGCTACTCAGGCCTGTTAAAGCGCTCTTAACATCAAAGATAAATATTAGATCCACTTATATTGCATAAGTTCATGCATAGATACATTATGCAGTGAGATAAAGGTTTCAGTTTCTTTATTAATGCCTTCTATTCATGACTTAGAAAGCATCAGATTTTTTAGCCAATTGCAACCCAAAATGGGTTGATGGGGAGAGAAAGACTGTGCTTGTTGGTGTAGTATCTTAGAAAGAGGACAGTGCTGTAAGATAAAGTTTACCCTGATTGCCCATGTTCCTTTTTAGTTAGCTTCCTCTCCCTGAGCATCCTACCTTACCTTCTCATTCCCAGGTTGTTTCTGCCCTATCTCTTTAAAACCATCTATTTGTAAACCATCTATTTGTATTACTGTGATTCAAAATTAGAGATCTGTGTCAACAATCCTCATTCAATAGGGAGCTAAGTTGGCAGTATTGTTTTTAAAAAGGATTAAATTTCCTTTATTATCCAAAGCAATTTACAGCCTCAATACATTCTCAGCAAAATCTCTAGGGCATTCTGCTGAGATCTAGAAAAAAGCAATCCTAAAATTCTTCTGGAAATAACAGAGTCCTAAATACCCAAAGTAACCTTAATAGAAACAAGGACAGAGGCATCACAGTAACAGATTTTAGAAATATTACAGGGCTCTCATGGTCAAATCAACAAGGTAAGTAGACATGTAGAACAATGGAACAGAATAGAAATCCCAGAGATAAATCTGTGCATCCAGAACCAACCAATCCTTGATAAGTGAGCTAAAATCATTCCCTGGAGAAAGGGCAGACTCTTTAATAAATGCTATAGGAAGGATTGGATTTCTGCTTGTAGAAGTTTAGATTAAAGATCTAATATTAAGAACAGACACTATCAAACTACTGGAAGAAAACATAGGGGAAATGCTGCAAGACCTTGTCTTAGGCAAAGACTTTATTGGGCAAGACTCTAAAACTATAGGCAATGAAAGCAAACATAGACAAATATGACTACATCAAGCCAGGAAGCTTCTGAAAACAATGAACAAAGACACGACTAACAGAATGCCAGTAAATATTTTCAAACTATACATCTGATCAGATTAACATTCAGAATATATAAGAAACTTAAGAAGCTCAACAACAACAAAAATCCGGATAAGAAATGGGCAAATGATATGAGTAGATACTTTTCAAAGGAAGAAATACAAATGGGTGACAGACATATGAAAAATGCTCAGGATCGCTACCCATCAGGCAAATGAAAATAAAAATCACTATAACATCTCGCCTCACTCCAGTGACAAAGAAGCAATGGCATCAATAAAACTCTAGTAGAGACCAGCATCATAAATTAAAGAGTGCATTATCGCCAATCTGCTGGACCCTAAAAAGGTAAGGGATATTATGGACAATTTTATATTTCAGAAGTTGTATGAAAAATGCAAACTCCTCAGAACACAAATTATCAAAGCTATCTCAAGAAAAGGGAGGGAACCTGAATTGTTCTGTATTTATAAATCAATTTTATTTTGCAATTTAAGACCTTTTAGTTGGTGGATTCTATTTTCAACCTGTTTTATGAGGCCAGGATTTTCCTGGTATGGAAAACCGAAAAAGACATGAAAAGAAAATAATTCAGAGTAATATCTTTCAGAATACAGAAGTAGACATCCTTAAGAAGATAGCATCAAAATGAATTGATTATTCATTCAAAGACTGGCACAATGCAACTATCCCAGGGATGCAGGATAGTATTCTGATGGTTCAGGAATTACTGTCATTCACTATAGTGACTTAAAAAGCACCAGCACCTCAAGAAATGCAGAAAAAGTATTTGACAAGAAATTGTGTAACAGGTAATTTTGGAAGAGATAAGTGTCGCTGTCTGGAGCAAAGGGCAGGTTTACATAGAGCCTTGGGAGGCGGTCATTCTGTCTCATGAACCTTGGTAGGCATACCTGCTGCCTAGTATGAAAAAGACGTGTCCATCTAAAGAGAAGGGTTGGCAGAGTTACTGCACATAAACGATTTGAATTCTCCCAGCAATCCAATGTGTGACCCTCTTCATGCTGTGTTAGAATCTTCAGTTTTTGACATGATAAAAGTATCAGCCTAATTCTGGATTGTAATTTTAAAAGCTAATCTATTCTAGTCAGTTGCAAATTTTAATCACATGTGAATTCAACTTTAAAAGTGTTTTTTGGGGGAGGGCATTGTGCTTGGGACATCTATATTTCAGTGTCTGGTTCAAATCTTTTCACCTTGTGCATTCTGGGAGGCAGAGGGAGAGGGCTCAAATGCTCCTGGCTTCTGTCCATCCCAGCCACAGCTCTGGTGGCACCTGGAGGGTGAACCCGCATAGGGATGATCTCTGTCATTCTGTCTTCCCAGCAGATGAAAACAAGTAAACTTAAGAAAATGTTTTGTATGAATAAAAAATAATACTTGGACAAGGAGTTTTGAAACATTGATTTTAGAAGTTTATTTACATATCTTGGATGGAAGCAATGGATAGAGTTTACTTGAAATTCCTGGAAAAAAAGAAGAATTTTTTAAATGGTGGGAATGCTAACATACTTGAGAAAAGTTAACATAAAACCCCCTGCTCCCTGCCAAATTTGCCTTATGCATATACAATAAAATAAATAATGTGAACACTCTGATTTCAATCTAAAAAGCAAAATAACTACATGATTCTGCTTTATAATGAATTGGATATGCATTTTACAAAATTAAGTCATATCTTAAAAGTTGGCTGCTTGTATATCCCGTTTATAATAATAAGATAAATAAATCTTAAACATATAGCTAGTAATCCATCGTAACATACATACCTTTCGTATCAGGATCTAAAGGCCTACTCCTAGGACTAGAAGTATCTTTGTAAGTGTTGTAGTCGTCAAAATGGAATTTCTCTCTTCTTGAAATGTAAACTGATTTTGCTGTGCCATTATGCTTACCAGAGATCTTATCACTTAAGCTCATAAATTCTCGCTGAAGATTCCGCTTCTCAAATTCCAAGGTATCTCTTTCATTTTCGATGCTTCTCACGTAGTTTTCCAAAAGTATTTTGTCTTCAGTAAGCCTACTGATACTGTTTTCAAATTTTAGATTTTCTTGACTGTGTTTCTTTAGTTCTTCTTTTAGAATCTGATTATCTGCCTTTATTTCCATGACCATTTTTGATAACATTTCGCATTCCTTGCCAGCTTCTGATAAACTATTCTTATATATGCTTGCTTCTGATTTTGCATTTTTGATTTCTTGCAGAAAATTCTCTTTTGCAGTGGATTGGTAAGTCTGAATATTCTCAAGTTCTCTTTCCATCATTTTTCTAGCAGTAGTAGATTCTTTTAATGTGGTTTCAAGATCCAGTTTTTCATTTTTAATTGTTTCTAGAATTTGTAGAAGCGTCTCTTTCTCTGTTCTTGCCAGTCTTTCTTTCTCTTTTAGCTGCATGACCTCTAGTTTATTTTCTTTCAGTTCATTTTCAAGAGAGCTTTTTTCCTTAAGAAGCTGCAATGCTTTTTTCTCTAACATCTCCTTTTCATCTTGTTTCAATAAAATGTTTGTTTTCATTGCTTCCAACTCTATGCTCATTCGATTATTTTCATTACTGACAATGGCCATATCATTTTGAGTTTTTTGATCCCTGCTTTTCAGTTGATCCAGTGCTTCTACCATTTGTTGCTTCTCTATAGAAAGCTGACTGTTTTTCTCCTCCAGAGTTTGGTTTTGGTCTTGAAGAGCGTTATATCTACTAATTACTTTTTTTAATTCTTTAAGACATTCTTGGTTGTCCTCTTCTGTTTTAATTAACTTGGACTGAAAAACACTGTTTTCCTCAACTAAATTCTTTATTTGCTTTTCATATGTTTCAACTTTTTGTATCAGAGATTGGGTGGTAAAAACCAGAGGTTTAATTTTGGTCTTCAGGGTTAGATTTTCCTTTTCCAGTTCTGTCACTTTTTTCTGTATCTGCATAGATTCTTTTAAGTAATTCTGTAAGTATTGGATTTTTGCAACACATTGCTCTGTAACAGAATTAATTTTGGATGTTTTCTCATTTTCAACTACTATTGGTCCCTGTTGTACTGCAAATGGTTGCGCTTCCTTGTCTTCTACTTCATGTTTTATTTGGTCAAGGAATGACAGTGTATACCTCGGAACCCTGGAATGAAATTTTAAATCTGTAATGTTCTTGCCATTGATGGGAATTTCTTTTTTGTTTTTCTCACTCTTCTTCCCCCTGTGTATATCACTTTTAGATAATTTTTTACATTTCCTGCAGAAGTTCAAGTGGAGTTTTGATACTGTTTCCCTGAATGGTAGTAATTTGCTGACTACTGCCTCTAATTCTAAAATTCTCTTTGATTTTATGTCATCATTTAAATGACTTCCTATATGTTCTTCCTTAATAAAGTTAGTTTTTTCTTTGTGTATGGGAGACAGGTTATAGTTATCACTACTTTGCACATTTGTATCAGTTTTTAATATTTGAAGTTCATTTGTAAGTGCAAGTTCCCTGTTGTGTGACTTTTGAAGCTCTTCCTTCATTTGTTTGATAGAGCTGCAGATATCATCTAGATTTTCACAAAATCTGTTGTTTAGAAAAGGCGCAGTAATTGTGGATTTACTCACACTTCCCGGGTCAGTGTGATATTTCACATTTTGAGCCACAGCAGGTAAAACATTCTGAAGGTTGCTGTAATTCTTCAACCTGTCAGCATGTTCAGAAGGATTCATAATTATGCTGGAGGCTGAATTATCCTTTGAGGTTCTCAGAGTTTGCGTGGCCTCGGGATGCAGCTGGGATGGGCTGTTTACACTTAGAGAGAGACTGTGAACACTGTTGCCACTGAATTTTTCTTCCATTGAATTGTGAGTTCTGAAATCCTCAAAATGATGAACTTTTTCCACAGGAGTGTCTTCTTGCTTCCCTGTAGGCTAGTAACAATAAAATAGCACATTTCACAATGTACTATCATGTGCCACATGACCAAGAAATTAATATCATACTTTATAAGGGATTTATTTATACAACCCAAACAGGCATTTTATCCATTTCTACAACAAAACACAAAACAAACAAGCAAACAAACAAACAAACAAAACAACCGAAAAATGCCAACAAGTAGGATTCATATTCTTCATTTGACAACAGTTGTTTTGTAATTAGGTCTTCACAATTTGCTTAATTTTGACTTGATTCCTTACAGGATGAGGTGCATGGGCCAACCCCTCAATTTAACAAATAGAAACAGCATCCTTAAACAGATGGGAGCAAAAGGTCAAATGGGAGCTTAAGGAAAATGAGTGTTTCTACTTCTAATCTAATCTTGGTCAGTGTGAGTTTGCATTCTGGATTTCAGATTTCAAGGCTGTAATTACCCTGGAAATGTAAATTCTGATCATTAGCACAGACACCGGATAGTTCTGGTTTGGACCTGTTCTGCAGAGGCCAACCAAGGCGTAGTCAATTCCAAGCAGACAGGTAGGCTATTAAAACACCCTTAAGGGCAGGCATTTGGCACAGTGGTTAAGATCCCTTTTAGGATGACCACATTCCAATCACTGTGCCTGTTAAGTCCTGTTCCCACTTCTGATCCAGATTCCTGCTCACACACATTCTGGGAAGAAGCGAGTGATGGCCTCAAGACTTGGGTCCCTGCCACCCATGTGGGATACCTGCATGGGGCTTCAAGCTGCTGGCTTTGGCTTGTTCCAGGCCTGGCTGTTTCAGGAATTTGGGATGTGAACCAGCAGATGGAAAATTCTATCTGTTTCTATCTTTCATCTCTCTTTTTCTCTCTCTGTCTTTTCCTTTCAAATTTAATACAAAAATTTAAAAGCTGGCAGAATTGCATTTGAGTTTCCTGGGGGCATCTTGTGGTGTCTGTACTAGGTAGATGCGTCTCACAGATTCTCTTAAGAGGAATGGTCACATGAGAGAAGTGTGGGGGCAGACGCACATCTCGCAAGCTCTTCAGGCTAGGGATTTCCTTCCTTTCACCTCTGTCAGTCCATTCTGCCTGTGAAGAAGAGAATGTAAGCACTGGTTATAAACTGCTTGCAGTCACATTCTGAAATTAGAAGTGTATGTAGAATAGCATACCAAATCCTTTTCAGGGTGTGAGCTGAATGCTAGATTTTTTTCTGAGGCAAACTGTGGGTTTTCTACTTCAATGATACTTTTGTTCAGTATTTCACTGATTTCAGATTGTACCTTTAAGAGATGGATTGAAATAGTTAGAATTTCATTTTGGAATGATAAGCTCAGATATAATTATATACTCAGATATAATTGAAAGTTATGTTTAAGTTTAGTCCTTTCCTAGCAGAGAGTATATATTATGAAGATTGCTACATCTAAGGAATCTTTAAGGAAATTATGCCTTTATTACACATTTGTACCTTTAGACAGACTTAAAACAAAATTCATGAATTATATTCAAATCATTTCAGACATTTGATTTTACGTTGTTGATTGAGTCAGCAATCTTTGGTTTCGGTCTTTGAATGCTACCTGTTCTAGCATTCTCAGGAAGCATACGTGTTCTTTATCTATTTTTCTGATGTTACTTTTAGGACAAGAATGTTGGGACAGTGATTGTGTGTTGTTGTAGACACCCCAATATTTTTATCCTATTCTAATTGCACTGCTACTTATTTCCTCTGGATGATGCTCCTGTGGCTTTGATGATACTGATTCCACTGCTGGGTTCAAGGGTGGAAATGTGACTCAACTCTAACTGGCTGACAGCTGCCTCCCTTCTGGATTGTTCCAAGTTTTGCTTATGATGTTATCTTGGGTAATCTGAATTTGATCAAGATCCTTAGTACAAACTATTCAGAGCAAAGCCATGCTCTGTTCATATTCTAAATTGAATATGGAGGGATGAAAGCTTGAGGTTCCTTGCAGCCTAGACAGCAAAGCTAAGACAGGGCTTGAGGCTTCTTCTGATGACATGGGTGAAGTCATCCTGAAGTGAGGTCTCTCTAGAACGTCCACATGACCTACTAACATGTGTTTCTCCCCTAAGTCAGTTTGAGTTAGATTTCATGTGACTTATAATGAGAGTCTCTCCATTTGTAACCTGTATATAGGTAGCACTTTATGTGTGTATTAAAAAAAAAAAACAGTCGGCGCTGTTCTTTTAGTTTATACCCAAACATAAGTATAACTAAAGTGAAGAACAACTTTTGCCTGGAACATATTATGACATTTATTAAATGTTAAGCTCCTGTTAATGCATTAATCAGCTAATGATAATCAGCTTCAATGAAGAGATGATACTTCATTAAATTAGATTATTCCCTGCTTACAAATTAGAAGGGGCTGGCATTGTGGCACCATGGGTTAAGCTGCCACTTATGAAAACAGTATTCCATAGGAGAGCTAGTTCCAACTCTGGCTGGTTCATTCCTGGGAAGACAATGAAAGATGGCTAAAGTGCTTGGGCACCTGTCACACATGTGGGAGACCTGGATAGGGTTCCTGGCTACTAGTTTCATACTGGTCCAATCCTGGTCATTTTGTGTATTTGAGAAGGGAACCAGCAGATGGGAGATTCTCTGCGACTCTGCCTTTCAAATAAATAAATCAATCCTTTCAAAAATTAGAAGAAACATACCATGCTGACATTCTGCAAAGTCTGCATTCGCAGAGCCTGAAATGATTCCAGCTGATGCTGAAGGACCTAGGACAAACCAAGTATGACATTGAACTTTGATTAAACATTGATTGAACTTGGTAGGGGACAGAGAAAGAGAAAGAGATTTTATGTTTCCCAAAGTTGCCTCTTACCAAAAAAGATCACAGGAGAGCCAAATGACTTACACTCTTGTTTTGTAAGCTTTCCAATGCCCTTTTATCACAATTGTGAGGGATGAAGTGGAAGAACTCATATACATTTAAGACATATTTATTCTGAAAAATAAACTCAGTCCTTAAAAGGATTTTGGGGTTAAACAGTGAAAAATACCTACTTTCAGTGCTGATTGAGGTTGGATTTGATTTTGTGATTCTGATACGCAGCCATATTCTAAAAAGCAAAATTGGAAAATGCTGTAATTTTAATTCTTAAAATTTTATTTTTTGACAGCTTTAATAGAAAGCAGTATCTTTTAGACAAAAAGATAATGGGAATATGTGATTTACACACCTTGGTAGCCACATGTTTATTATTTTTAGTTGAAATACCTATGTGAGGATTATAGTAATGTTTTTACTTTTATATGAACAACTAGCTTATAATTCCAAACTTAGAACTTTTAGAAATTCATTTTTTCCCTGTTTCTGGTATATAGGCTACATTCTCTCTCTGTCTCTTTCTTTCTCTCTTTTTCCTTCAAAAATGATTTTTAGAATGTGACTTTGGCCTTGCTCTTTAAAAGTCTGTATGTTCCTGCTGTTGGGAAAGGCAGTCACGACTGTACATGGCTTTCCCTCCTCTTTCTTGACCATGTGAGAATGGAGCATGGTCTAGAAACACCTTCTTATTTACAGAGAGGTGCTTGCAGCCTGCTCTGGACTTACTGATCACTGAATGTACTCATTTGTTCTGGGTAAATATGTGTGTCACTGGTGCCTGGGAAACTTTCTCCTATCTCTGTCTCCTGAAGACACAAGAACAGGATCTTTCTGCTTCAGCACCCAGGGGTGTTGGCTGGCAAGCTGGCCTGTGTAGACTGCCAGAAGGGACTTGCTGGTCCTGAGGGAGCTAGCCCACTGCTGGAGCTGATCTTGATAGATCTCCTTGCCTTGTGACTAAGGTGGTACACCACCCAGCGTTTTACTGTATTACATTTTCCATGGTGACTCTGATTCCAAGACTCAGTGAGCAGAAGTGCTTGGTTCTCTTGGTAATAGCCTGGGTATCATAGGCTTGCCATCTTCCTAAGAGATAGATTATAAATTTGCACAACTTTAGAGCAACATGTTGGTGAATTTCCCAACATACATCCTGTTGTGTCCAGGCTACCTGCTTGCTTTGTATATTTTATAGTAGAATATTCCTTAAAAATTTAGTGTCCTGAATGGAATAAGAGATGGCATTGAATGCTCACCTTGGCTGACAATTTCTGCTCCTATTGAGGGTTTTAAAAGAGGTTTGCAGATTCTTTGCTTGGCTTGGTAGCTTGCCACACATTACGGAAGCCAGTTTCCAAGTCTAGGCACTCCCCCTTGCCATCTGCCCTTGGCAATGAGCGGCCAGCACTGGCTCAGCAACAACTAAAGAATGCCACCTTTGGTGAGAGGATGGGAGGGACATTGATCCCACCTGGACTCTGTTGGGAAGGTTCTGAGTAGAGGAAATGGTCAGGTCCTGAAGCAGAACATGTTCCTATTTGTGGAACAGAAGGTAAGCCAGCATGGCTGCAGCTCAGGGATCAAGAAATAGGGCATGAGAAGATACTGGGTGGGTCATGAATGGCTTCTCAGGTCAAGGGTAGGGGTTTGGATTTTAAGAGAAATGGGAAACTTTGGAGAGTTTCAACCCTGGGAATGATTTAATATGATACAAAATGTTCACGGGTTACATGATAATAGATTATATGGGAGCCAGTTACCAGATTATCACAATAATCCAAGTGAAAGATGAAGATATTTTGAAGTATTAGGTGAGGAGATGGAGAAAAGTAGATGAATTCAGAATATATTTTGGAGATAAAGCTGAATGTGCTATCAGAAGGTAGAGGAATTGAGGATGACTCCTTGGTTTTAATGAGAGCAGGTGGATGAATGATGTCACTTATTATAGTGAAAAATGATGGGATAGGAACAAGTTTTAGGAGAAAGACTACTTTTTGATGTGAAGCATGTTTGTTAGATTTTGAAGGAGAGATGCCAAAAAGTCCAATGGATATAGCAATCTGGGACTTATATGAGTGACAGCGAGCAATTTATCACGATTACAGATGTCACTGCTGGCCAGAGAAGGGTAGCGTTGGCTGAGTGACCAGCACAGAAGCCCCACAGAAGTGGCTGAAGATATTGGAATGGGAATACTGGGCCTGGAATCTAGTCCTCTCCTCCTAGTTTAACTGAGGAAGGGACCGATGTATACACAGGAATGAGGTGCATGTAGGAAGAGATGTGAGAGCCAGGATTTTGTTTTTCTTTTACTCATGAAGACGCTCACATGCTGGCATCAGATAATGAGATAAAGGAATTGGAAAGGGAGGGTCAGACTGAGGAATTCTGGAGAACAAGGAAGACTAACTGCTGAGAGCTGAGTCCTTGGACATTCTAGAGGAGGTGAGCTCTGGGGAAGCTGACCTGTTATGTGGGGACAGTTCTTCCACTGAGAACAGGAGTTTGAAAATGTGAAGGTTGAGAATGAGGGAGTTTTGTTCTGATTGTGCCTACTCTTTTCCTTTAGCATGTAATCATGGTATGCGTTAGTGGGTAGTGAAGAAGAGGTGTTGGAGTGAAGTGGTTAGGTTGGGGAGCACTGGAATAAAAATCTGCTGGGGAGACAAGTTTTCCCAACAGCACACAGTACTCCTTGGAGAGTCGGGATGACTCAAAAGTGAGTCTCTAGCAATATCCAGATTAGTCAGTGCATCCAGAAAGTTGGGTTCATTTATTTTTAAAGAAGATTAAAATAACCTTTTTCAGATGACTTTCAAAAACATTGGCATGACTTACCCCAAAGGAATGGTAATTTTAAAATCCAGCAATATTTAAACAGCCACATGAAATTATATAGAGGGAAGTTAACAGAGTTGCAGGAGACCTGACACAATGACCCTCTGCTACATGTTTGACATTGCAAGGCACACACACCAGGTGCAGGAGACAGTCCCGGCCCTTAGCTAGCCTGAAGTCTATCCGGAATATAAGAAAAATCTTCCTATTATATCTCTCTTAAATTTCTTAGCTGTTTCATAGTTAACTATCAAAAGCAGAGAAACAGGGTAGTTTACTAATGGAATGACTAGTGAGATAATTAAGGTGAAGATAATTGGAGTCATATCCAGACAGCATTAGGGACACAGCCACAGCTAACAGGCCAAGAAGAATAAATCCAACGTGGGACGATTCTGTACAGGGTATCAGATACTGTGTGAAGATTGTTTCATGTACTGAGATTGCTATAAGGTCCACTCCTAGGGGTTCCTGGTTCATAAATCCTTGTGAGGTGTGGCACATTCTGTTGAGTGTGTGTGTGTGTGGGGGGGGTGGCTGTCCTGGTCAGTAGGAGTGGGAGTGTGGAGTTATGCTGACTGACTTTGAACCCTGGCTTTTGCACACATCTCTGTGAGGGTTAGCTCCAGGCAGGTGTCTGGTTTGGTAGGCATGTGGCATGCACTAAGTGCTCGAGAAATCTTTACACAAAGTATTATTGCAGAGACAAGTTGATGATGGGTTGTTGAATGTAAACTTTTTCAGTTCAAGCTAGAAGGGAGAGCTGGCTGCTTAGAATTCCCAGGTGCTTCCAGTTTTGCTCAGAATAAGACCCTAGATTCTTTCATGGAACTACACAACCCCAGGTCTGTTCTTCTCTCCCACAGTCTGCTCCATCCACACAGCTGTTTCTGAAACAGGGCAGCTCCCATACCTCCTGGCTTTGCACCTGCTGCTGTGCCCTGGATGCTTTCCCCTGACATGTGCATCGCTTCCTCCTTCACCTCTCGCTTGCTTCCAGTGTGACCTGCAGAGTGAGGTCTATGCAAAACTGCACACTCCCCACTTGCCTCTGATACAACATGTGTTCCCCTCCCCTTCTGCGCCTTACCCTTAGCCAGCAAATTTTTTCCTGGCTCCTGAACAACGTCCTCCATCTTGCCTGTCTGTCTCCCCGGCTGGCCTGCTAGCTTCATATGGACAGGAATGGTGGAGCCCCAGCATCTAAAACAGCGCTTGATACACAGCCAGCCATCAAAAATCTGTGTGATGTACATGTATGTGTGCGTGATGGGAGTGAAGGCTTGGCTAGCAGGGTGGAAGGCACAGCATGCTGGTCACCCTGCAGTCAGATGAATCCCTCACGCAGCCTTCCCCATCAACCTAGGGTTGGCTTCACTGGGGCCATTCGGTATTTTTATACAATCAAAGGCCTCAGGAACATCCTAAAACTCTTTGTAAGTGATCATGACTTGTGCAAGTAGGATTATAGACTGCTGGGTAGCGTTCTAGGAACAGAACACTAGGTGAAACACGGGGAGGGCACAGAGTCAGGCCTCCCTCGACCCTGAGGTGCAGGCAGGTATCCCTGCTATCCTAGCAAACTCGAATCTAGCGTTCCTTTTGGTGTTGGACCCTACGCTGGCAATGAGTAAGGACTGGGAAGAAAGACTGAAATCCTGAAACAAGTGTAACTATTTTTCTTACATGTTGGCATCTTTCTCCAGAGCCTTAAGTCTCACTTATATCACAAAACACATCCTCCTAACAAAACAAAGCAGAACATGTTCTTGTGAACGAAAGGTTTCTCTGTTTCTTCTGACCGTAAATGCCCTCTTGGGGGTAACTGTTTGGGCTGACCCAAGCTCTTGGTGGGGACTCTTTCTCTCCTGAACATTGAGGCTATGTGGTGATGGCAAACATTTTCCTCCCCATACAATATCCAGGAGCCCACCTCAGCTTCTAATATATATATATATATAATATTATCTAATATGTATTATTTATATACATATATAAAATCTATATATAATCTATGTTATATGTTATCATTTTATATATATATAACAAAACCAACGAGTCTTTGGCATTCAGGACAAGTGTGTGGTAATGCCATTGGGTGATTAAGTGCTCCCAGCTCTGCTCCTTGCTAGCTGTGCGGTTTGAGGACTTGGGGAAGCTCTGCACCCTTTTCCTCACTAGTAAAGGGAATGCGACAGCGCCTCCTTTCGGGACTGCTGGGATTACCTGGTTCATTGCCACCACCTTCCCATATTCCGTCGGAGGAACTGAGGATCTTCGCTGCCGACTGGAGAACACAGTCGACCTCGTCCTCTGTCTCAGGATGCCTTGCTGTAAGGGAAGCGCGGGGCTTGGAGACACGGCAGGCGACGCCGGGCGGCCACCGGAGGGCGCGCTCGGGCCACGCAGCCGAGCGGGGAGGCGGCGAAGCGAGAGCAGGGGGCGCCGGGCGCAGCTGCCCGGGCTTGCACTGCAGGCGGCCGCGGGAATCCCGGGCTCTCAGGGATGACCAGCCCCCGACTTCCCACCGCAACCCCTCGAGAGCAGCCCCACTCCCGCCTTTACCGGGGCTCATGTCTGCTGCTCAAGATCTCTCTCCCAACTGCCTCTTCCACACATCCGGCTCACGCTCGGCAGCCGGTTGCCTGGTAACGGGGCGGCTGGGCGTGAGCGCAGGTGGGCGGGCAGGGAGGCAGGTGCGCGCGCTTCCAGGGGTCCTGGCCGCAGATATTTAGCCAGTGCACTAGACTCAAAAGAGAGTTTCATTGCAAGATGCTTCCCAATCCATTCAGGAGTCAGAAAAGCAGCTTCCTCGCAAACTCCGGAACAATTTTATGCTAGATATTAGGTCAACAACACCTTTTGATGATCAAGATCATTTTCGTTCTGTGAACTGAATCATGTATATTCCCAGTTGGAAACAAATTGGTCAGAAAATTACTACTGTAACTGAGTATAGAACCTTATCTGTGAGGGTAACAATACACTCAGAAAAATGTCTTCACTGACAGCGTTGTCTACAATGTGAGTGACGCCCCCTTAGAGAGGGCTTGGCTGCATACTCGCATGGAGGTGAGCCTGTTGTTTGATGAGAGTCTGAGATAGCTCACACAGCGGGGTGGAGGGTAGGCCCAGCTTGCTCGGGTGCTTCACAGCACTTGGGATACATGCTGTGGGAGAGGTTCTGTCTGGCCACTGAAACTCAATGGACCGCCATTCCAACCTACTTTGCAGCACCTCCATTCTGAACTTAGTGGTGTGGGGACCCCGTTGCTGCCGTAGTTACACGGGAAGGCGGGCAGCAAAGTGCAGCTCTCCACACCGGAGTTCAGTGTGAGATTGGAACGACTGTGGACATTGTACCCTCAAAGGGAAGAGATTGAACTATTGTAGTTCAAATATGATGCTGCAAATATTTCAGAGATATCAGGAAAATGTGTTATTCGTATTATATGTCAGCATTGTTGATAAGCTTGCTAAATTTGTAAAAATGAAAAATTTACACGCTTCTCAAAAATGCAAGTTTAGATGATGTATCACAATGTAAGTCCTTCCAGAATTTTGGTTTTTTTTTTTCAGAACTTTTAAAATAATGCATACAAATAATGATGTAACTAACGGCTGGCTTCTGTCTTGTAGAATTAACAATGGTCACTCTAATGACATGGTAGATTTTGTTTTGTTTTGAAAAAATTAGCGTGGTGTGGAACGGGACTCCCTGCTCTCTCTCACACTGTTCCCAATTCCTCATGTTCTTCCCACAGGAAAACAGCCTTACGAATGAGGAGGCAGCCTTCCAGTTCATTCTTTTATTTTTTATAGTTACCTATGTGTTTGTGATGAATATAATTTTTTCTCTTATAAAACTTTTTTGTAAATGACATCATAATTTATATTGTACTCTATAGTTTTTCTCTTTTTACTCAACATTTATTTTTAGACCTTTAATTCAATGCTAAACAAAACAGGATTAATGGTGAGAGTGACAGCATTTCAGAATTATCGAAACCACGTGGGCAGAACCCTCAGAGCATGCACCACATTGGGGAGCTTGGGTTGATGTTGGGTGGCTGTATTCCATCCACAGGTACCGGGGAGGTGGGGGGTTGGGTATGGCTTCTTCCCCTCCCCCAGGTACAGGAAGAAATAGAGAACTTGGAAACAGTGATCACACCCACTTTTTCCTAAGCCTCGATCCTTCCTACTCCGAGCAGCTATGTAAACATCAACAACAATAACAACAAAAACAGGCCTAAGTTAGCTGTTGGTTCTCCCAATGTGTTTGCTTTTGGGGTTTCTGTTATTTTTCTATTATTTTTTAAAGTTTGAAATGATTACCAACTTACAGTAAAGTTGTCAGTATGGTATGACCCATCTTTTTTTTTTTTCTCCTTATTTTTTTTGGAAGACTTATTTATTTATTTGAAGATTAAATAAATTGTTCATCTGTTTGTTCACTCCTCACATGGCTGTAACTGCCAAGGCTGGGCCAGGCTGAACCCAGGAGCCAGGAGCTTCCTCTGGGACTCACACAGGGGTAGCAGGGCCATAGTCACTTGGATCATCTCCCACTGCTTTTCCCAGGTCGTTGGTAGGGAGCTGCAGTGGAAGTGGACCATCTAGAATGTACCCAGATAGCAGAGAAATCTGCTGTGACAGGCAGTGGCTTTATCAGCTACACCACAACACTGGTCCACTTCCCCCAGTTGTTAAGAATTGAGTGTTGGCATAACTTCCCTTCAGTCCTTATCAGAAACACAATAACACAAGCATTAGCAAAAACATCAAAATTCAATAACTGGGCCCAGTATGGTAGTCTAGAGGCTAAAGTCCTCACCTTACATGTGCTAGGATTCCATAATGGCCACCGATTCTAATCCTGACTGTTCCACTTCCCATCCAGCTCTCTGCCTGTGGCCTGGGAAGGCAGTCAAGAATGGCCCAGAGCCTTGGGACCCTGCACCCATGTGGGAGACCCGGAAGAAGTTTCAATGAATTTATTTTTTTGTGTAAGGTAAAATTAGAGGAAAAGACAGTATTTAAACTCAGCAATATTCCCTAGGAATATGGAATATAATGAAAAAATCATCAAACCTACAATTCTAAATATTATAGTGGGCCAGTGTTGTAGCTCCTAGGGCTAAGCCACCACCTGTGACACTTGTATCCCATATGAGCATATGAGCACTGGTTCAAATTCTGAATGCTCCTCTTCCAATCCAGCTTCCTGCTAATGTGCCTGAAAAACAACAACATGTGTGTTACCCATGTAGGAGACCTGAAGGGAGTTCCTGACTCGAGCCTTTGGCCTGACCCAAATCCAGCCACTGATCTCTCCCCCACTCCCTCCACCCCACCGCGTTGTGGCCACAGTAGACAACTGTGGAAAGAACTACTGAATCAGACATATCCACAACTCCCTTTCTTCCTCTGTCTTTCAAATAAATAAAAGATTCATTGAATTAAAAAAGTGAAAGCAGTAATCAGCTTCCTAAGAGGTAAGGCTGGGGAATATCTTTAACGACTTACAGAGTGCCTTCTCTTTTACAGATGAAATCAGGGACAGTAAAAGCATCTTAAGGAAGGCTGTGTGGAGAGACTTGCTCTTGGATGAAGCCTTGGTCTGGGAAGGCAACCCCTCTGCCCGGCTCCCCAATACTGTCCTGAGTCACTAGTGCAAGGATTTCCCTTCAGGATCAAAACACAAGCCAAGGGACAAGTGCCCGCATTTATCACACCCCAGGGGTGTAACTTGGACACTTTTGATACTACTATTGATTTCATCTATGATTAATGGCAGTCTTCTAATCTCGGATTTCAAAACCCAAAAGTAATTTTGTCTGCTAACATCCTGCTAAGAATAGATTTGACTAGCTTTGTCTTTGCGTAATGTCCTCGAGTTTGTTCCAGATTCTTGAATCTGCAGCTGTTAGTCAACAGGTGAAAATGGATCCTCTAAGAGCAGCTACTATTTGGGATTTTTGAAATATTGTCAGTCAGAGAATTAAAGAAAAAAAACTTTAGTAGTACAGGTTTTAATCCTATTTATTAGCAATGATTTTCACAATAAAAAAAAAGTTTAAAAATGTTCCCAAGAAGCTGATGGACTGAATGACATATATTACACAAGACAGCATATTTCCTGATGGATTATGTTCTATGGTTTAATGATGGGAAATCGAGTGAAAGAGAAACAGCTTTACCACATGAGGAAAGCAGTGCAGGTGAAGTGTGACACCCTGTTAGTACACAGAGCTTATAGCTAGCAGTAAATATATGCTACATGCTTTTGTAAAATTTAAATGAACTGTTAGCCTATGTCATAAAATTACAACTTGGTATGAATTCAGGGTGGGGGCTGTTTAGAATAAGGTAATTTGGGCAAAATCAAAGTTTTAGAATTAGGAATTCCAATAGTGGCCAAGTTGAAAGAGTTTTCGAAAAGTTTTTTAAACTTCAGTTTTCCCTCATGTAACTCTGGAAAACAACCGTTTTCATGACATTCTATGATTCTTGACACCCTGGGAGTGTTTAAGCCAGATTATTTCAGCAAAGAATGTTTGCCCTGGCAGTTATGATCTCAGTGAAGATACTTGCATCTCACAGGCTGCAGTCTCCCACTGCATCTTCCTGTTAATGTCGACCCTGCGGGGAGGGAGCCATGATGGTATGTATTTTGTGTTTCCATTTACTTCATATATACTCATATCAGGTGAGAAAATATAAGGTCATAATGTTTAAGATTGTGAGAACTGATGTTTTCCAAAGCAGCTGCACCATTTTATAGTCTTACCATGATGTTAGAAGGTTCAATTTTTATCTGCTTTCCTGAAAATACTTTTCATTAATACTTTTTATTACTTTTGATTTTTTTTTCAGTTGTAGTCATTGTAGAATGAAGCGTTTTTTTCATTGTGGTTTTGAATTGTATCTCCATAATGCTTAGTGATGTTGGGCAGCCCTGTGTGTGGTTTGGTCACATGGTATAACTACATAGTGCAGGCTCCTGCATGTGACATTGACCACATAGCCTTGGCTTTAACGAACCACAGATATGTGCACACCTTGATACATACATACACGTATGATGAGTTAGACACACATTTGTGCTATTTCAATTTGAATTCTTCAGAAAATGAGGTGTCAAAGGAACTTGGTGTTGTGAGAGGAACTTCTCAAACTCACAACATAATTTTGCTCTTGGAGGAGAAATAAATAAACTGCATATTCTCATTCACTAGATAAAGATTGAAGAAATAAATGAATGGAGTAATAAATGAATGGAGTAATCAACCCCAAATCAACATTTGGTGTTTTATGTAATTTTGGTTTAAAATCTACTTATGCAAGATAGCTATGATAAGGGCAGCAGTTGGGCTTTGGGTAGTGTTTTTTTAAATAATAGATCATGGAATTGTGCTTTTGTTTTAACAAGGTGTGCCTTATTTGTACAAGAGAAAATGTACTGATAGACATTCTTGGCATACTTAGATCAAGCTTTCAGGTATGTTAAAAACCTAATGTTAATGCCTGAATTTATGACCTTCTGAAATGAATGATAGTATTACCCAAAAA